GGACTATTCTGATAGCCTCCTAAATGGTCTCTCTGCTGCAAGTTACATCACCTTACAACCCTAAAGAGATCTTTCTAGAGTGATCCTGCTCTATAAGTGATCCTGCTTAAATTACTTTGAATGTCTTCACTTTGTCATTAGGATTAAGTCCAAACTCCTCCTTGGCTAAGTCTCACTCTACTTGCTTCTCCAACTTTATCTTTTACGACTTTGTCTCTTCTTGGTAGTTTCAGCCAAGTTTAACTTCTTTAGTTTACTGAAAGTGAGGGATTGTATTCTCTTCCCGGGTCCACAAGGGGGCATGGTTTCAAAGGCAAGAACTTCCCAGTGCCATACCTCCACCGACTCCTCCATCCAGGAGCTTAGAGGTCTTTAACTTTCGCTTGCAGGTAAAGATAGACTGGTCAGGTAAGCTCCCTTTGTCTAGAAAAGCCCGCGAGAAGCTACGGGAGGACTGTGGGCCAAAACAACAAATCAAAGGTCAGAATCAAAGATCAATCACTACAGTGGAAGTATAAAGGAACTCCTTTCATAGGACAGGAAACTTGAATGGGGCAGGAATATCTCCCATGTTAAAAGTCCCCTTCTCCCACATCAGTGTAGACTCTGTTTCTGGATCCCCTCCCACGACATCACGGGAGCTGCTTTTCTTTCCCCCTTTTCTCTTGCTCTGCCTAAATAAATCACTTTCTGCAAAACTCTTTGGGGTCCGATATTTACTTAAAACAAGCTCACCGTGCTCAGCAGGGTCCTCTCCATTATTGGGTGAGTGAGGGACCAAGGACCAACATCCTGTTGGGATGCAACCTGAGCCCATCATCTGCAATTCGGTCACAAAAGGGTGATGTATGCTCTTTCCACTCTGGGCCTTTATGCTTATTTTCACCTTTGCTGGCATATTTACCAATACTGCCAATTACCTGGCAAATGTTTACAATTTTTTCAGGTCTCATCTTCATTGTAACAACTTCTGGAAAATCTTTACTGACTACACCTCGCTCCCCAGCTAGACCATATCCTTGCTCTGTGCTTACTGTTAGCATTTCATGGCATTTCTGAAACTTTCCTGTAATTGTAGAGATGGCAGGGACTTTGCTTGTGCTGCTCACAGTTGTCTCCCCAGCATAGTGCCTAGTATTTGGCACACTGAACATGTGCAAACAGTGTTTGTTAAATGAGAACATACTACTTCCAATGGCATATTCTTTGAGCATCTATTTACAAGTTTTTTTCTGTTAAGTGGCCCTTTGTCTCTTCTATTTAATGGTTCTGGTTCTATACCCTAAAGAACACAGAGAACAAATCATTAGGCAGTCTTCAAATGAATAAAGGAATGTGCTCTGTGCTTCTATTCCACTTAGGGCATGGAGCCTAGAATTGAACATTCACCCAGCTGTGGTCCGACCTCAGAGAGGGACCATCACTATGCTCATTTGACAGCCTATCCTTGTAATTAAGTAGATTGAGATCATATCTGCTTCCATTCCACTACTGATTCATAATGGCAAACTCCCTAAGTTCTTTTTCTAACGTGTTGTTTCCAGGAATGATCTCCTGCATATGCATTTGTTTTTTGCACACAAGTCTAGGAGCTTACATTTCTTCTTGTTAAACTTATCCAAGTTGATTGTAAGCAACATGCCAGTTGGCTAACATGGGGGGATTTTAGTCCTGCCACTGTATTTGTTTTTCTATTCTACTTTATGACATCTAATTTGTAAATAAACCTTACTAGCCATATAATCAGGAACAAGGTACTTAAGCCTGTTTCTTTATGTGTAAATGGGGCTCAGGGTTGCTGTGAAGAATACATCTGCATGTGTTCACAAAAAACATGCAGTTCTTGGGACATGATATGTACTCCTATTATTATTCATATAATTGATAACAAAGTTGAACAGGGAAGTAGGGGCAGATGCCTATGTGACATCACTCAAACCCATTCTCCTAGGTTTAGATATATTGATTAACAAATGGTTTCATGTAGCCTGTTTCTATTTATTTTGCCCACAAAAACATATTAGAGAACTTTGAAATGCCTTTCTCGAGTACACTATGATGTTTCCTAGATTTATTGCCTAGTACTCCTCAACTCTCAAAAAAAAAGAGAAATTTTTGTTCTCCCAATTTGTTCTTAGTGACCTACCCAACAACCTTTTGCCAAGACATTTTGAATACTACCCTTATTTCTTCTTAAGACATAAAATTTGCAATAATTCTACCAAATAAGAGTATATGAAATGATTTATTGATATTGGTTAAGATCCATTATATACAGGTAGAAACTTCCAAATTGTACAAAGAACCATTAAGAATATGGATAAAGACACTTTTATAGACAAAACAACTGGAAAATAGTTTTAACATACCCAATATATAATTATGAAAAAAATGTAGAACACAAATTGTTCTACCAAATAGATTCCAAGGTTATTGAAAGTCTGCTCTGCAATCCTTAAGTTGAAAAATGTGTTCAATGGAGTTACATGGTTTTTAAAAAATTAGGTATAATGTAAAAATTAAGCTTTTTTTTTTCTCATTGCAATTGGGAGAGGAACCAAGACAACTTTTTACCCCCATCTATACAGTTTGAAAAATAATTTATATGTCTAGCACAAAGAAAGAAAATTGAGAATGTTTATGGTTCTGTAAACTTTGTCTTTCATGAAATGCAAACCACATCAGTTTTAAAAATTAGAAACTGTGCAATCAGAAACAGACTGTTCCCTTTATGGTACAATTGTACCTTAATTGGCTTTATACCTGAGCACCAAAGCTGAAGTTCTAAATGCCATCTTTTCCTGGAAAGCTATTCTGAAAATGAGCAAGAAATCAAAGCTAGCCTATTATCATCTAGAAAATTAGGCACCAAGAAGGAGATTATCTCCTTAGAAATGCAACATCAATGACAGAGAAGCTTCAATTAATTAAGCAGCTGACAGATCTCCTTGTGAACACAGCAAAGGAAATCCACATAAGAAGAGCCTCCATAAAGTCCTTTGTCTTCTACCAGGAATTGTCGGAAAACCATTTCTGGCTGTTCTCGCTGCTTTACTATTGTGAGCTAGGAAAAAAAACAAAACAAAACACAAAATGTAACAGCACCTGGTTATATAACACATAATTTGAAAATGGCTCACTTTTGTCTATTTCAATCTCAGCAAACATTATTGAATGTCCATTATGTCTGAGGCTATGGAGGATGATGGGAAAGTGCCTAATATCTAGAGTGGAAAGAGGCATGGACCCTGAAACCCCAAAACCTAAGACATACAATTTTAAGTGGCAAAAATGAAACTTAAGCAGAGTGTTATGGGAAAGGCTTCACAATGGTGGTAACTGTCTCCTGAGCCTTAAAAGATAGGGGTAGGGCTAGAGAGTATTCTATGCTGGAATACATGTACCATGTACCAGAGATACAATTATGGCTGGCATGTAAATTATCACAGGCTTCTAAAAGGGACAAATTATCATAATAATGAGTTTGGGCTTTTGTAGGAAATGTGATCCAGTGAAGGTGCAGAAGAATGAAATGAGGCAGTTAAGTGGCAGCAGTGTGTACAAAACATTAGCGAGATGAGGGACACTAGATAGGAAGTGGTTTGAAGCATCTGGGTGGGAAATGATCAGGTTTTGGATTAGAGCAGTGGAGGTGGAAAGTGGGTACATTGGAGAGATGCTAGAGAGGTTAACATGCAGGGAAAACCAGGAGAACTGTCCTTTTGCTCATCACGACTCTCTAGACCTGTGCTGTCCAGTACAACAGCCAGCCAACATACTATTGAGCACTTAAAATGTGGCTCATCCAAATCAAGATGTGCTGTAAATATGATACACAATTGATTTCTAAGACTTAGTATAAAAAATAAAATGCAAAAATATCTTAATAATTGCTACAGATTACATATAGAAATGATATTTTGGATATACTGGGTTAAATTAATTATTTAAATGATTTTTTTCGTTTTAAATGTGGTCATCAGGAAACAGAATTGCATATACATTTGCATTACTGGAGAGTGCTGCTCTAGAAGAAACCCACAGGGAAGAAGCCCAGAAGACAGGGAGTTTTGTCATGAACACTCTGAGCCCTTCTCTCTACTCCTGTATTCCTATTCGAGGAAGTCAGGGTAGATGATCTGAATGATCAGAATTTTGTATTTATTGTGCCACAAGTGGAGTTAACAAAGCCATACATGTACAACAATGCCACCTGCTTCCTATATAATTAAGAGGAGCCAGCGTTCTTCTCTTTTTCCTGGCAGGAGGTAAAACCACCAGAAAGGCCTGCAATAGGGAAGTGCATGCAGTTAACAGCTTCTCGAGCTGCGGCAGGGAAGGTATGTACAATTTTGGCTAGGAGGGCAGGGCCTCCCTACTTTTGCATTCCATGCTTTTTAGTTATCAAGTAGAATAATTCTGTCAACACCACTTGTTTTTTTCCTTTATAACGTTTTGGCCTGGGTCCAAGGCTGTTAAGTTTTAAACTGCCCCTGACCTAGTAAAATAATAATATATAAGAACAACTGCTGCTGCTGCAACTCAGCTAATTCCCTGTGGACACAGACATGTGTGATGCCTTGGCTTTTGCGTGTCAGCTCTAGGTACTGGGAGTTGGTGCTGGAGTAGCTGTGTGCATAGGCAGATTCAGCTCCTATGGAAGCACAACTAACCCTTAATGGAGATTTCTCCAAAGAAGTTTAAGATTTGCCTCCTGATAAACCTGAAGTCAAGATTCTTTTCATTGTATGTTTTATCCACCCACATGCCACTACGACTTTACTATCGTCCATGATTGGTAGGAGCAGTGTGGGTCTAGACTATGACACAACTCAGGTTGAGACTGGACAGAATGAGACATTGAAGGAGGGAAGATTTGAAGTTCCAATTTCTTTAGAACGTACTTTCTTTATGGAAATAATTGGAAAGAAGTTCAGGTTGCTCATCTTAGGTATTTTCTATTGCTGCCATTCACTTGGTGTTTTTTTTTTTTGTGTGTGTGTGTGGTGCTCACTGTACAACCTCCTCTGACAAAGAATCTGGCTATGAGTGGAGGTGGTAAGTAGAACAGGGAATGAATTTCAGCCTTGGGAGAAACTTAACTTGAAGCTACAGTGATGAATATCCTACCCTACCATTTGATTATCTACAGGTGCCAGGATGACACAGAAAGTATAGTGGAAGGTCTCAGGGGAGTGGACTCGTGGAAGTAGTGTTGGCCTGTCTTGACATAGTGATGGTCGCCTCCTCACGGGGCACACCCACACCAATAAAAGGAAAACATACTGGTGTGGATTGGTAGATCTGTGTTTATTTCCCCGCTTTATATTTCTATAGGGAGGGGGATGACCCTGTAGAGTAGGAGGAGAACATTAAAATAATCACTGCTTGTTACCTCCTTGCTTCTTGTGTGCCCTCTCCAAGGAATGACTGGCTAACTCTGAATGTGACATTCTCTGGGTCACATTACCAGAGGCCTTAAAGAATGAATGTGCATAGAACATGTTGAGTGAGAAAAGAAGAGAGCCATGGTACAACTTTAGGGGAATACCAACTCTTAAGAGGCAGATGAAGGAAGAGAAGCCAACGAAAAAGGGTCACTGAGAAAGAAGAATCAGGAGTAGGAGGTGTTTTGAAAGCTGACAGAAGAGAGAATTTGAGGAAGTAGTCAACCTTGTAAATGCTGTAAAAGGGTTGAGAATCAATTGTCTTTAGCAGTTTGGCAGTTTACAGAGAACTGGACTGATGAGAAGAAGGAAAGAGCAGTTAATACAGAGTTCTTCAAGGAGCTTGGTTGGTGAATGTTTGGTATAATGCTGGTGTTCAATAAATATTTGTAGAATGAATGAAAGGAAAGGGAAGCAGGATCTCGGAGAAGTGGCAGCTTCAATGAAGGTAGATTTGAACAGTTTGTAAACTGTGGAAAAGGGCCAGTGGGGAAGGAGTAATCCAGAAAATACAAGTGGAACGAGAGCGAATGAAAAACATTTGAAGCACAGAGAACCATGCAGGGCAGGACTGGCATTTATCAGGAGGGCACTGGGTTTCAGTCATCTGGAGACACACTGTGGTAGAAATCTTTTTTGTTGTTGTTGTTCCCCCACACATATGAGAATAATCCGACAATAAGTTCTAAGAGGACTCATTTTTTAAAAACGTAATTAGCATAACCTAGAAGGTGCAGTTCCTTCTAGATTTGATTTTGTTATTCTTGATCCTTCCATACCAGCTCTTTTCTCCTCCTTAATCTTAACCCTTTAAAAGTATGTTTTCATTTCCTTTGTTTGGTCAGTTTTCAAGTGTCAGAGAAAAGGTGTAATGCTAAGTGCACTGGGACTAAGCAGCTAGTACAAGCCGTGTATCTTCTATGATCCAGCTGTGAGACCCTGATCATGCTAGTGAGCTCATTTGAACCTCACTTTCATGTCTGTGATGTGCAGGTGTAAGGAGCCAGGCATCTCGCAGATTCCTTTCGGCTCTGACATCTGTAGATTTTAGATTTCAAATTCTTTATAGACATAGCACTCTATGAACAGATGGACAAATTTGCAGGTGGTACATAAGAAAATCTAATTCTTTATTCAAGCTAAAATTGTTTTATTACACAGTTGCTTAATATTTTATTCACATATAATATTTTGAAGCTTACCCCCAGATGCTTTTATAACCAAAGCTGACATAACTTTGATAAGAGGTTGGAACAGGTAGGAGAAAGCAGAGGAAAGTTTTATTTTTTTCCCTGAAGGAGGAACTACTAAGGATAGGGATGATCTCTATGCTTAGTCGTGCCTCTTCTCTGCAAATAGAGGGATGCAGTTGCTGCAGCTGGAGCTGGGATGAAGGTGAATCATTATTGCTGTGCATTCTAAATACTGGTGGTTTTCAATTTGCATTTCAAGAGACTCAAGATTTGGTTACATGTTTCTAGGGTGTTCAGACAGAATGCCCTAGAAAAACGTGTAACCAAATCTTAAAAGAATGTGTTTAGTTGAGCCTTGTGTGTCATCTCTAGGTCCTGCCCTTAAACTGAACCCACATAGGTGCTGTGTGGTGTGACAACTGTTCTAGAAAAGTTCTATATTCATCCAGATGTCATTAGTTCAGTTTACCTAAGCTCTACCTAAAGTTGATGTTTGCATGCATGAGTTACTTTCAAAGTTACGAATGTTGGTTTAGATTGACATCACATTTACATTTCAGGAGACATCTGGCTCCATAAATACCCTGGGACTTGTAGACACATGCCTCCAGGTGAGTGTCTTATAGCTCTTCAGTAAGCAGTGTTACACAGCACATCATCATCTAAACATTCCAGATCCCAGGAGACTCTAATATTGAGCTTGGGAAGGAAGACAAGTAAGTATCTGGAAGTTGGCAACAAGTTTTAATTTTTTTGGGTTTTAGACATATTAAATTCTTTTACTCAAACTCGGAAAAGGCTAGACGGGCTTGGAAGGACAAGAATAACAAAACTTTTCAGAGATCATAAATTAAACATTGTAATAAATCTTACAAATGTTCTAAATGATACTTCTATAATTAATTAACTTTAGGCACCAAAAGAAAAGTCATTTCAAAGTCTTTTAATGATACCAATTGCTATTAAATTGTAAGGTTAATACTGACTAAGATACCCCGTAGTTAACCCATGGTAATAGCTGTTTATGTTTGTGACTGATAAGCAGGTATATATACTTACTTATATGTAAGGTTAATGTGAGGTTTTTTTTTTGTTTGTTTTTGTTTTTTAAGATTTGTGATGGTGTGAATTTTTAAAATCAAAGATCACAACATAAAAACATAAGGTATGCATTTTAAGAGTCTTTGCTGAAATTTTTAACACTTGGAGAAAGGGAAAAAATAAAATCGTTTTCTTACCTTCATTGAATATGGCCTCTTTTGTTGGATAATACCCATTATCATTCTGAGTTGTTGAGAGTATGGGTTTCCTACCTCAGGCAGCAGTGTCTAAATTTAAGAAAATCAAAGTTTTAGTGCAGTTTATAACATTTAGATAGAAGTAGCAATATGAGATTATCATAATGTTTATAACATCCTTCTAAAACCATGTACTTGAATACTGGTGTAATTTATTACCTGAAAAACAAAACTGGGGAAAATGCACTAAAAATTCTTGTTGGCACCCATTCCCACCAGTGATTCATAATTGAATCATTTTCTGTCTTTTGAAAAAAAAAAACAAAAACAACTCTTCCTCTGGAATTTGACACATGTACATCACTGAAATGATACAACACAGATGTAGTTGGCCCTCTGTATCTGTGGGTTCTGCATCCACAGACCAAAAATAACATTTGTCAAAAATGCATCTGTACTGTAAAGGCATGGATTTTGTTTTTTTGACATTATTCTGTAAACAATATGGTTTAACAACTATTTACATAGCATTTTACATTGTATTAAATGTTATAAGTAATCTTTTTTTTAAAATAGAGATGTAGTCTCACTATGTTGTCCAGGCTGGTCTTGAACACTTGAGCTCAAGCAGTCCTCCCACTTCAGCCTCCCAAAGTGCTGGGATTATAGGCGTGAGCCACCGTGCCCGGCTGGTGTTAAGAGTAATCTAGAGATAATTTTAAATATATGGGAGTATATGCACAAGTTATATGCAAATACCATGCCACTTTATACCAGGGACTTGAGCATCTGCAGATTTTGGTATCTACAGAAACTTCTGGAACCAATTCCCCATAGATACTAACAGACATAGTAAATGTTTTATGCAAACCATTTCCCATGAAAGTTTGATCCCTTTTCAAAATTCAAGGCTATGTTGTGAGAGAAAAGACTGTACTTTATTCCTTCAGTGGATGGAAAATGCATTAAAACATACTATTCCAGCATTAAAACATACTACCAAATGTTGATTTCTCATAGGGAATGCAGCCTCTTAAATATCCCAGAAACCTGGTTAGTGGTCTGCAGACCAATCCAGCTGCACATGGCATCCCGGAGATATGAAGGATTTTGACTTACATTTATTCCATTAAGACAGAGTAAAATGCTAATGTTTGCTTCTCAGCAAGAAGATGCCAAGAGCCAATGCCTCATTGTGAGTTAGCCAGAGAATATGTGAGCTAGAATGTTTTACCATAAACCTCAAGTGTCAGGAAAAGTTTACGGTCAATATTTTTCACAGGAGTTAGGAAAGCAAAAAATTCATTAAAGTGCCAACTGCCTTTAAAAAGAAAGTAGCTCACATTTAGTTTTTAACTTTGTTTCATTTTGTTGATGAAAGTCAAGGAAAGGTATGCAGATAAAAGCACAGCCCTACATCTGCTGCCATGTGGTAGAGAGACTGGCTATTTCCTGTGGATGTTCAGTTCAGCAACTATGCATTCAGCATTTACTATGTCAATATAAAAGGAAGCTCCCTTAACTTTTATATAAACATTCTTTAGACTCATAGTTCTTTGCCTACTGAATTTTATTTTTAAATTACATTTCTTATTTCTTAACTCAAACATATGCAGATATCTTACTATTTCTAAATCTTCATCTTAAAACTAGTCTCTAACTGGAATATGGATACCCTTGAATTCTCTTAAAAATACTTTAGACATTCCTAATGAATATGCAGCTCTCTAAACTGATTACCTATCATGGTCTTGAATTTTAATCCTGTCTTTTTCTGCAAGATGCTATATATATATTGATAAATTGTACTTCATACCATTGGGTTCAACAACTAGACGTAAGCCATCTTGCCACAGTGTAGGTGAGACTTTGGGGAACAAACTAACTGCTGAGCCCTACTGGAATCCACTATCAGAGTCAGACAATAGCCATCTGGCAGTGATGCTCATGCAACATGGTCTACAAATAAGATTTACAATAAATGTTGACTCTTGTACAAATTATAATTGCTGCGTTTTCCTAAGATGCTTTAAAAATGCATTTTTATTAATTTAACATCAAACCCACAATTTCTCTTGTAATTGCAACAGAGGGGTATATAATCTGTTTTTATGGAATTATTATTTTGTTAACTCAGTAATTTGATTTAGTCTGTAGTCAAACACCTATGAAAGATTTCTACATTCTTTTGAGTATGCAGTTCAGCATGAGGGATGAGCCCAGAGCATAAGAACTAAATTCAGTTCCCATCTCTGCCACTTTACTACCTGAAGGAGCTTGGCTCTAAGCCTCAATTGATTCCTCTATAAAATGTTGATACCATATCCATCTCAGGTATGGTATATTTAAGTATTTAGAGTACAGAGACTGGCACACAGTTAATGATCTGGAAGTGTTAGCATTTTCTATTAAAGTCATATATTTTAGTTGTTTGAAAGTACTCTATACAAATAACTTTATGCCAGCTAATTGATATTGATCAAAACATGAAATTTTTTCATTCATATACAGAAATATATGCCTTATTGTTTCTTTCTATAATATTTGACTGCACATAAGTAAAAACATTTAAGAATTGATATTTTTCATATTACCACAAAAGCAATGAAAAAAATACTTACCATATCTGTGTTGATATGTGCAAAAGATGGCACATTAAATATTCCTTGGATCAGTTCTGGTGGGCTGCTTACTCCCAACCACAGGAACATGTGTAGACCATTGACCAGTAAGAATATTCCTCCTTCTGAAAGACGGGACTCCGAGCAACGAACAGCAGCAGGTAATGTTGTACTCTTGACATCTAAAGTGTGCTGGGCACGCACAGACAAGAGAGTTAGAAGCTCCTTTCTTCCCCTTCCCTTCCCTCCTTCCTCTCTTCCTTTCCTGTTTCTTCCCTCCCCTCCCTCAGTGCATATTTAGTGAGTAACTATTATGTGCCAGACTTTATTCCAGTCATTAGATAATAATCCCTACCTTGTGCAGCAAATAGTTTTTTGCAGGGAGGAAAAGACAACACATAAAATAAGTAAAATATACAGAATATAGATGCTGCTAAGAGTTATGAAGAAAAGATGCAAGAGAGTGGTATGAGGTGTGTCGCTTGTGAAGGTGGGGACAATTTTAACTAGGATAGTCCAGGGAGCCCACCAGCTTTTAAGAAGGCATCCTGAGGAGGTAAGTGAAGGAGCCATGGAGACAACTGGAGAAGACCATTTCAGATGGAAGGAAAAGCTAGTGCACAGGTCCTAAAGAAGGGCCCGACTGGAGTGTTTGAGGATCAGCACGAAGGCTGAAGTGGGATGAGGAAAGGGAGAGTAACAGAAGAGTTCAGAGAGAAGGGAGGGGAGAAGAGGGCAGACAGCACTAGGCTAGGGCTTTTACTGAGATGGGAAATCCTGGAGTGTTTTGAGTGGAGGAGTGATACAAGCTGACAATTATTTTTCTTTTTGAGACAGACTCTCTCTGTTGCCCAGGTTGGAGTGCAGTGGCACAATCTTGGCTCACTGCAGCCTCCACTTCCTTAGTTCAAGCAATTCCCCTGCCTCAGCCCCCTCCCTGCCCCTGGTAGCTAATTTGTTTGTATTTTTAGTAGAGATGGGGTTTCACCATATTGGCCAGACTGGTCTCAAACTCCTGCTTTGGCCTCCCAAAGTGCTGGGATTACAGGCGTGAGCCACTGCACCCAGCCTACCTTCTGGGCTGAAAACAGACTGAAGGAGACGCAGAACTCCTCAGATTCCCTCCCCTCACCATAGTGAGCACATACTGATACACATAAGCAACTTGTAGAAAGAGCCCCCACTCAAAACCCCACACCATACATTTTGACGGCATTTGTGACTAACTTTCCTCTTAAGAACAAAATGTTTCAGATATAACATATGGTTTAAGTACAAAATAGGATTCCCTTCCAGCCTCCCTCTAGGAAATGCAGCACCCCAGCATGCTTACTATGGGCAGAAGTTGTGGGTAGAAGAAAAGCTGAGAATCAGCCACACCCATGGTCATGACCAGCTGTCTCTGGAATGCCCGCTCATCGGTTGAGATCTCTGGTCTGCTGAGCAGCACACAGTTTTTCAACAAACAGTTCATGTACACTGGCAATACTTTCATGGAATCTGGTAGAATAAGCTGAAAAAGACAATTTTTTGTTTCATATGCTTGATCATTACTGAGAACAATCCTGAGCTTCATCTGTAAGACTGAAACTTCATTTGCTTTTGAACTTGTAAGGATTAACTGGTAACCCATGTAAAGCACCTAGAGCACACAGTAATCTGGCACAGAGTAGGCATTCAAAGAGCAGCAGTTGTTTTTATTTTATCTAGTGCTACAGCAGCCTGGCGTAGCTGTTAGCACCACCCACTCAGTGCTTAGGATGCAATTCCAGCTCTTTTACCAGGTGTGTGACCTTGAGCAAATTACTTGCCCTCTCTTTTTTTTCTTTTTCTTTTTTTTTTTTTTTAGCTGAATATGGAATAATGGTATATCTACTTCATGATAACTGAGTTATAATAAGAATTAAATGATTTGTAAAGCACAATGGTGCCTAGCACATTGGATGTACCATATATATGTTTATATATATATATATTAAATAAAACTTTTTTAAAAAGTGATTTCTTAACCTATATTTCCAACTTAAGAAAAGCATTTCTAACTGCCCACAGGATGTCCCTTCATGCTCTTCATGCATCTTAAACTCATCAAACAAATAATAAATGGCATTGTGTCATAGGTTCTGTGCAAAGTGTCAAGGATATAAAGAAGAATAAGGCATAGTCCATACGGTAAGATGTTTGAAGTTCGCCTGGGATAGACATATAAATGCATAAAACATAATAAAGAGATTACAGTACTATAGATTAAAAAAGGAAATGCTTCCTGCATTTAGATGTGTCACTATTGAATGATAACCTGCAAAATCAAACTCCTACAATTCCACAAACATGTTCTTCCTCCCATGTTTCCTATTCAGTGTAGAACTTCCAGATGAACCCTAATTCATTTATTTCTTTACCCTCAATTAATAAACAAATCCTTTTTATTCTGCCTAATTCTGAAGGCAGAATCTACCTGTACCTTCTCTCCATCTTCACTTTGGCTCATATGACCTCATTCTAACTGCCCAAAGTACACGCCCTGTGAGATACTACAACCTAACACAGTGCAGCAATTCTAGGAACACAACCTGATGATTTAAAAAATTGTAATTTCCTATATTATTTAACTTTCTTCTAAATCAATATTGTAAGAATAGCTAATAATTAAGTTTGACTGATCCGAATGTCATTTCCTTCCATTTAATGGCACAAGTCAGTGAACAAGGACATATCCAAAAGAAAAATTATACATAGGAGATAATAATAATTTGTAAACAGATAACTGAAATATCTGGTCTATAAATTCATGGTTTCTTTTTAGCTTTCTCTCTTTTTTATTTACTTTTATTTTTGAGACAGTCTTACTCTGTTGTCCAGGCTAGAGTACAGTGGTGCAATCTCTGCTCACTGCAACCTCCGCCTCCTGGGTTCAAGTGATTGTCCTGCCTCGGCCCCCTGAATAGCTGGGATTACAGGCATGTGCCACAATGCATGGTGAATTTTGTGTTTTTAGTAGGGATGGGGTTTCATCATGTTGGCCAGGCTGGTCTCAAACTCCTGACCTCATGCAATCTGCCCACCTCAGCCTCCCAAAGTGCTGGGATTACAGGTGTGAGCCACCGTGCCTGGCTTAGTTTTCTATCTTAATGATGAAGATGATGGACATACACTTATCAGAATCCATACTGAAAAGAAAATGTCCCTGAGGCTCTGTTAGAATTTATTCTGCAACTTAAATTTATATCATAGGTCTCTTCTCATTATGTACTAAGTAAAGAGTGTTGGACAGAACTTCCTAACTGGCTCAGGCAAACATATTTCAAAATGATTCTACTTTGCAGTTTGTTTCCCCTGTTGACTTCTAATCTCCTTTCAAAGAACCAAGGACAGTTAAATGTATGTTTATTCATAAGAGTAGAACACTCTCTTCTAATTTTTTCTCTAGCATATCTTTATTTAACAACATTTGGTACTGGGTTACTTTCTCAGCCAAGGAAAACTATGATAAAAAGATGTAGGAACCAGATCATGGTCATATTCCAGAGCAATGTGGCCCCCACGCTATTTCTGGTCTAGTTACCAGTTAGGCATTTTACATGTTATTATGGATCAGGAATGTGCTTAGATTCCTGTATAAGGCATGTACATTTGGTTTTAAAATATCAGATTGAAATTTCACTGGCTGCTTCTAATTAATCAGGTCATATTAAGAGTTCAGAAATCTGTGATCCTAAATGCCACAAAGAGGTGAGGTTGGCCCACAATGACATTATTAGGACTAAAAAGTCTAATCAGAGGAGGTTGGATTGTAGGAGGGAGAGGAAAGAAAACAGCTGATAAATGAGAAGGAAAATCTAATCATGAAAACAAAAATAAATGGAGTTAAAAAATGAAAGAAAACAAAAAGACACTTTATTCAATGTTTTTGAGTGAAGAAAATGTTGCCACGGATTTCCACTATAAAATCTCCCCACCCCACTGGCACCCCTGTATAAATAACTAAATTATTCTCTGGGAGTAAGGTAATGAGAGTGAGGTGGGAGCAGTAATGCATGTAAGTCGAACTTGCCTGAATTTGGAAGATTCTTTTCTTCTTTAGGTTTTGAAGTGACAGAAGTAGTAATAATTTTTTTTTTAAGAAAAAAATTTATTTTGCAGTTAAGATCATTTGACTTGCCTTTTGAAATCAATGCACTTCCATATGATATTAACATACTTAAGCTCAGAACAGTGAGCTATCAGATTAAAAAAAATCTATATTGCTTATGTAAGACTTATAAGCCTTAAAGTTAGCTTTTTTTTTTTTTTTTTTTTTTTTTTTTAATATACTGGGTCTCACTTTGTCTTCCAGGCTAGAGGACAGTAGCACAATCACAGCTCACTGCAGCCTCGAACTCCTGTACTCCAGGGATCCTCTTGCCTCAACCTCCCAAGTGGCTGGGATTATAGTCGTGCACAACCACACCTAAGTTTTTATTTTTAGTAGAGGTGGGGGCCCAGGTTGGCCTTGAAATGCTGGGCTCAAGTGTTCCTCCTGTCTTGACCTCCCAAAGTGCTGCAATTACAGGTGTGAGCCACTGCATCCAGCCTAATTTGTCTTAATATTGTTTCTAGTTATATTTCTTTTCTTTTTTTTTTTTTCTTGTTTTTTTGAGATAGAGTCTTGCTCTGTCACCCAGGCTGGAGTACAGTGGCATGATCTGGACTCACTGCAACCTCCACCTCCCAGGTTCAAGCAATTCTCCTGCCTCAGCCTCCCGAGCAGCTGGGACTATAGGCACGTGCCACCATGCCCAGCTAATTTTTTGTATTTTTAGTAAAGACAGGGTTTCACCATTTTGTTCAGGCTGGTCTCGAACTCCTGACCTCATAATCTACCAGCCTCGGGATTACAGGCACGAGACAGTGTACTTGGCCTTTTTTTTTTTTTCTTTTGTGATGGAGTTGCTCTGTTGCCCAGACTGGAGTGCAATGATATGATCTTGGCTCACTGAAACCTCCGCCTCTTGCGTTCAAGCTATTCTCCTGCCTCAGCCTTCTGAGTAACTGGGATTAGAGGTCTGTACCACCATGCCCAGCTAATTTTTTGTATTTTTAGTAGATGCAGCAGGGTTTCACCATGTTGGCCAGGATGGTCTTGAACTCCTGACCTCAAGTGATCCACCTGCCTTGGGCTCTCAGAGGGCTGGGATTACAGGTGTGAGCCACCGTGCCCAGCCATATGTCTTAACTCAGCATCTATCATACGATCCTCAGAGTGAATGCTTCCTTAAATTTTGTACCCTAATGCCTTCTCTTGCTACAGCCTAGTTTTGGCTCTGGCAATTCGGTAAAAGTAGCTCTATTGAGGTTCATTATCATACAATCTAAATAGCTCCTTAATGGTCTTGCTTGGGTCAGGGAAACTTTGGGCTCTATGGTAAAATAGTGGAATTCCTTTAGGAATTGCTCCATCTCCATAGATACTGTTTTTCACAAGTAAACTGTAGGAAAGTACCAAGTCTACAGTAAGATTTTCTGAAGAGAACATTAAGTCCAACTATTCTGTTTTCAGATAATACTGTTTTAGAATCTCCACATTTTCCAGACTCCATGATGGTTGGTTAATCATAAGGTACTTAAGATACATTATTTTTTTAAAGCATACTATTGGTTCAAAGGCACACTTGAAAAGTGCTCATGGAAAAACCTTATTATAAAAACAGGAACAATCTCTATCAACTTATTCATAGAAAATTTAACATCATAATGTTTTTACTCCAGACATAATTTATTTGTGCAAACAGGTGATCCAGTCGTAGAGACAATCCTTTAAACTTTTAAACCAGAATAAAATTACAGGTTTTATTTTCTTCCATAAGTAGGCAATGAGTTTGTTTTCAACTTAAGGTCTTTGAATCTAGTTGTTTCAAAGTTAACAAATAAATGTCCAGAGAGGACACTAACTGTATCTGTACTACTTCAACTAATCCTTCGGGAGTGTGAGAAACTCCAGAATCAGAATAATGTTTCCATAGCTCTAAGACAAATGGTAAAATGAAGTAAATGTTTAAAGTGCTCATGATTGGACTCTTTTGGCTAGATTCCAGGTGTACCTGGTAGGCTTTTGTGTAACTTGAACAAGCATGCTATGAAATAGCACTGATATTCGAGTTGACTAAAATGGAAATCTTCTGAATAATAAAGAGAACTGAATACTCATGTAGATTCAAGAGTTGCTTATATGATTATCAACAGAGGAGATAAAAGAATGGATGACTAATTTAATAACTTTGGACAGCATGGAAAGGAATTTTATGAAAAGTCCATCGAGTAAATGTGTTTGTTTTGTTTTCTTTCTTTGCCCAGATTATAAATTTGGACCCCAAATTTATCTGCATTATCTTTTCTGCCAAGAATTTTCTTTTAGGTGGGGCTTCAGATAGATGTCCTATCAGCACTCATTTTTGACAATGAATAAACTAGAAAGTTTTCCCATCTGTTGCTGTCTTAATTGAAATTCTATATTCACATATTTGATACACAGCTATAAAAATGCCATCTAACTTTTATTGACATAGAGGAGAATGTGAACACAAGAACAAATGCAAAATTAAATGTGGGCTTGAGGTTCTGCTTTTTGTTTTATAGGAGAAAGACTAAGTGAGGTTTATTTAAAGAATCTTCTAAAATTTCAAATTACTAGATTATAGAGACAGTCAATTCTTTGAAAACTCTTCATACCTATTAAAAACTTTTAAATGTAAAGAACTCCAGTATTTACATTTATAAATTATATTTGTTTATAAAGTATGTTATTAGTGCTATCTCCTCATGTCAACTTTGTTACTATGCCTAAAATGTATTTAAGCATACACATTTCATAACAAAATACCCATCTCTGGATAAAAAAAGAGAATCCTGTTTATATTAGGACACTTCTTACATATAACATTCTTAATCTTCTCAGCTACATGGTTTACTATTACAGTCACAGCATCTAAGTGCCTGCAACATCATAAGCCTTCAACAGCTATGTGCTGAAGAACTGAGTAGTCGATTGTAACAGTTTAACATCTATGTACAATAGGTAGCTCACCTGGCTTGCTGCAGAAGGACTGGCACAATTCTTTCGGTAACATGCCAACATATGGGCAGTCTGATTAACTAGAATTTCCCGGATGACCTTCAAAGGCTGGTGGAGAATTGCTTTAAAAGCTATGTGCACAAAACAATGAAAAGGACATCAGTTTTAGCTGAGACACTGATAATAATAATCAGACTCTTCAAATAATCAGACAAGGAACAAGTTGCTATTATCTTCAGACCACCAAGCAAGAATAATATTTAAATCTGTTCAAGTCATTTGCTAATGGTCTTTTCTTGACTAAATATGATGATCTAGCTAATGGAGAACATTGGCCTACCTACGGCAAAGGTTACACTGGCCAGATTTATCTTCAGAGTATTAAAATTGTACACACAGAAAAAAAGGCAGGCCTATTTGTCATTTTTTGATATCCTGAATTCTTACGGACTAGATTGCTACCTTTTCCAAACCTTAGTGTATGTAGAATTTGGCTTTCAAGGAAAGCCAAAGAAAAGTCCACCTCGGGCCCATTCTATTTCATAGTTAACATGGTATCGATAAGCAAGTTTAGTCTAGCATTAGAGGTGGTTTCATCCATTAACCCAATGTGTCAGAGGGCATGATTACATACCATAATGAGGGTCTAAGCATCCTATTCCTAAATTTCAACTCAGACTGCCACTCCGGAAGGAAACTTCAACTAAGTCTGTATAGACTGGCCCTGAAGTGAGTTATCTCACTTATTAATTTAGAGTTAAGAATCAGACTATTCTCCCTCAGACTTTGCTTATATTAGTTCTGAATTTATCCACCAGAAGGTTGCAAAACTGCAGTGCTTTTTAGCTACTAAATTACCTTGACTGAATTACTAAGCAAGGTTTCCTGAACCTCAGGATTGGCAAAGTGTTACCTGACTTGGCAAAGAAGTTCATAAGAGCATCTGTTTCACAGCTCTTATAAAGATCAGCCAGCTGGGAGCTGCAGTTTAAGCCAAGATTGTGAATCCGAAGTCTTCTTTGACCACTGATTGTCGTGTAAAGCACAGCACACTGTAGAAGCAACACTGAGGTCACATGTTTTTCTGATTAACATATCCACCCAAACTACCTTGATCTTGCTTGCATTTACAAAACATTGTGTACAGATAGATAAAAGACCTCTATTTTTTTTCTATTATTGTTAAAGAATGAACAATAGGAAGTATATGAGAATAATGACTCATTCATTTGCTGGGTTTCAAGGTAGCACTTCACTAGTTTAAACTGATGTAAATAATCACATTTCTACATGTAAATAATTCACATGTAAATAATCACATTTCTACAACTAGTCTTCATTTCTCGTAGCTCATGTTTTATTACCAGGGATCGAGGTCCAGAGACAATACCTTCACATGCTCAGAGCCCTACTCAAGGCTCGCTTCCTTAAAAACATACAACTAGCTTTCACAATGGACTTAGGTTTTATGCTGATGATATACATTTCAAGAATGCATAGATAGAACCACTCCCCCAAATATCTGTGATTGAAATATAAACTTTAATTAAAAGTTCTTCCTCAACCTAATGCCAGCCTCTCTTCATCCTTTAAAGATGATGCAAATGTTTGAAAACTATGACCATGTATATCTAGTGGCCATAGTTTTTCTTTTTTTTAATTCAAAGTCTCCATGGCTTTTAGCTAGTTTCACTTTAAACAAAGAAATCCTATTTCACTTGCTTATAATATAATATGATTAACATGGTACTGGGGCTGAACTGTGGCTCCTCCAACGTCCTACCCCCCTAGGACCTAAGTATTTGGAGATGAGGCCTTTAAAGAGGTAAATTAATTAAAGTGAGTTCAGTAGAGTGTACCCTAAAAAACTTCGGACATAGACATGTAACAGAGGAAAGATGATGTGAAGACACAGGGGAGAAGAAAACCATCTACAAACCAAGGACAGGGGCCTGGAACAGATCCTTCCCTCCAGGCCCTCAGAAACCTTAATCTTGGACTTCCAGCCTCCAGAACTGTGAGAAAATAAATTTCTGTTGTTTAAGCTGCTCACTCTGTAGTGTTTCTTATAGCAGCCCTAGCAAACTAATACAGATATGGTAGACGTGAATGGGTGCTGAAGCCCAAAAGAAGTGAATACTGTTGGAAGCCAGTTTGCTGATGCCTCTGATACTTACCACAAATTTGCTGGACTTGCATGCAATGACATAAAATTGTCACTTCATATAAGTAGCAAATATGAATGAGAATGGAGAAACCTCACAATTGAGTGTTCTAATCTACTGACTTTTGACTTTGGAGAAAGAGAGTTGAATTTTTTTATCAAGACACTAATACATTTGATGATATTTCAGTCTCCCCACTGATCATTGTCAGTAACAAACTAAAAAACAAAACATGGTAATAAATTTTCAATCACCTGGATTAAGGCTCCACTGTCTTCACTGAGTTTGTCATCGTGCTTGAACTCCACAGTAACTGCCTTGTCACAGTCGATGGCAGCCATTTCTACATCGGTGGTGTTGTTCATCAAGATTCCACCAAAGAAATCAGTGGCTCTGAAACCTAAAGATAAGGGAAAAGGGAAATTTTCCTTCTATTTATTTTACTGTTATTTTCTTTGTTGGCCTGTTATTAATTTGAAAAAGAAACAATTATACAAGAGAGACCTGAAAAATTGTATAAATGATAATTACCTGTGCTGGTACGAACCCTCATAATAGCATCAAAGCCTATTTTCTTTTCAATATCATTTCTGAGGTCATTCAAAAATTGTTGGCTATCCAAGTGCATCTAAAAAATAAAGTCTGATCAGTGTCCACCAGATGGCAGTAAAATACTTAAAATAACAGTTCTTAATTTAATCATGAGTTAAAATAATTTTTAAATCCCGATTTGGCATATTTTTGCATATATCTTATGCTTCTTTGGTTAAAGAAAATATAGGATCTTTGGACACTGTTTCTTAAGTTTTAAAACTAAAATCACATATATTATTTTCTTTCATTTTAACACTTTGATGAGAAAATCTATTATTAATCACAAATGGGAAAATTAAGAGCACATAAGTGATCCACTCAGTGGCTTAGGGTAAGAGACATGATTACGACTCAGTGTATAATACCCATTTAATGAGGTTGGGGAAAGACCCTGCAATTGGGGATTTTTAAAAATCTGACAACATTCAGAGCTTTGTGAAGCTATGTAAGGGGAAGTATAAACCCCTCTCCTACCCCTATTAACTATTCTATGATCATCATGTTTCTGAAAGATGACCACATTCCACAACTAAGCAACATTTATATAATATGCACATGTGCACAACACTGAGCTCAGAGGTTACCCAAGACAGTAAACAAACTAGCTGAACACCAGCTTCTAAAGCTTCTCATCTGACCTTGTCAGTCAAGCTCTTTAGGAAATTTTCACTACTATTTGACATGTAGGAGAGACACTGACACACACATCCCAAAGAGAATGAAGGAGGAAAGGAAAGAGGGAGATCACAGACACAATCTTTATAACAATCCCTTTACTTGCTTACAACTGGATGGTGCCTGCATAGTTCCTGACCATCATTTTCATCTTATAATGTTACTGAATGGAAAAGGCTATTAAAATTTGTATTGTTGAAGATGAAAAAGAAATGCTACGGTAGGATTCAGTTTTGCAACAATTAGAGTAAACACAAACAACTGAATAGCAGCATAGGCAACATTAACACTCTTTTATTATAAAATATTTTACTGCCTGTTTACGTCTTAGAGGCTTTTCCTCTGCTGGATTATAACCACATTTCTTTTTTAGTAACATTGAAGGAGTCAATAATAATTATGGATATGTTGAGGTACAAGTAAATATCCTTTATTATATCAGAAACTACATATGGTTGGCACATAACTCAAAAATTTAAATAGAAAAAAAAGTAATACACCTGGATGATTACACTGCAGAGCACCCCTGCCTACACATCACTTGGTAGGCTGCTCTTTGAAGCCAAGTCACTACCATGTAGATGATCACACCAGTACGTAGCGAAGGACCTAGCAAGAACCCCAGTGCAATTCACATATGCCAGGAATGGAGGATGATAAAGTCCTTTTTGGAAAATGGGGGGAAAGGCTTCTGATGAAATTTATTCCCCTAGCTGGAAAAGGAGCTAACATTGATCAGCGTGGTAGGTTGCATGTACCTCAATACCCAGAATATGTGTAGAATGAGTAAGGGTTAGAATTCTGTATGATTATTAAGAGCTTATTTTCTAGAGTGTGGCTGAAAATACTTATATCCAGAAGTCTTAGAAAGAGTTGTTAAATCTTTTTCAATTTTATTTCATTTACAATCTTTGGTCTTATCAAGTCCCTTAACTAGTTTATAATATAAATATGTAACTAGTGTCTATTAAGAATAGTATTGATGATTAACAAAAGTAGATGACTAACATTTATTATCTATGTTGGAGAACACACCTTCTCAGTCCATGCCTCCATGTCTGTCCAGGCACACACACATTAGGTGAGGGGGAGTGACTTATCTGATTAATAAGTTTGGGAAAAAGAAATGGGTGGGCACAGCTCAGCCTCTTCTGAGTCCTCTTCATAGGAAAGCAGCTGGCCTGCAGGAGGCACACATTTTCTGTCCCTCAATACAATGTGTTTTCAAGGCACAAGGGTCCACAGGAGAAACTCAAATTGTGCCCACTCTGTGCCTGGGTGTATAAGTTTGTCAAATTCAGGGGTAAATCATTAGCAAGCCCACTTGCCTACAGACTCAGGTCCATTATAGTGCTGACATTTTGATCATCTCTGGAACATGTCTCTCAATTCAGGTTTAGAAGAGAGAAGTGTAATGAAGTGATCCCTAAAATCCCAATAATTTAAAATAAATATGCAGTCACTTTTAAAAGTATTATCTTAAGTATGTTTTACATAAAATATATTTTTCCCCATTACGAAAGCTCACAGTGATATTTAACTCTGAGGATAAATAAGCTCATTCTATCACCAAACACTTAGGAAATATGGAATTGCTGAACCATACACACACATACACATGCACACACACACACCACACAGTTGTCCCTCATTATCTGTGGGGGATTGGTTCCAGAACCTCCCACAGATACCAAAATGTTGCTCAAATCCCTAACATAAAATGGTATATTTGCATATAACCTACACACATCTTACATATCCCTTAAGTCATCTCTAGATTACTTAGTTTTTAATTTTTTTGTCAAGATAGGGTCTTGCTATGTAGCCCAGGCTGATTTTGAAGTCCTGGTCTCAAGTGATCCTCCCACCTCAACCTCTCAAAGCACTGAGATTACAGACATTGGACCACTGCGCCCAGCTTACATTACTTATAATACCCAACACAATGTGAATGTTATGTACATAATTGTTATACTATAGAGAAAAATGAAAAAGTGTGTACATATTCAGTATGTTACAATATTTTATTTTGAATATTTTTGATCCAAGCTTGGTTGAAGCCAAGATGCAGAACTCTCCTGATAAAAAGGGCCAACAATATACTTTGTTTTCCATCTGCTCTTGAATTTATATTTGTCATCTACCCACAAGTGAACACAGCTTTTTAAACCTATAATTTAAATACCAAAATTAAAATGGGAGTGGAAGACTGAGGTGAACAAATTGCTGGCATTACCTGGAAATTGCTGTATTTGTAAAGGGTTCCTCCAGTGAGCTGAGGAACCAGCCCCAGTGAGGCCACGTCCACATACTGACTGGGAAAGAGGAAAAGGGTGACAGAGCAGCCGTGAGCCACGCAGTCCTTGGCCAATGAGTCATACACATTTGTTTGGGGCTGGAAAAGTATCTGGAAGAAAGATGCATAAAAGGAAAAAGAAAAATTATGAAATGTTTTTGGTTTAAATTTTAAATTTCTATTGAATTCTTGTTGAATTTTCAAAATGGAAAAACAGACATTTTCCAGGTAAGTGAACTAGGCTGAAGAAACACACTGTGGTCATCATCAGTGCAGTGGTCATCATCAGTGCAGTGGCCACCTGCTGAGGACTCAGTCTGTGCCAGGTCCATGCTATGTGAAGTAATTTTGTGTTCAATTTTATTTTATACTCTATCAATCCTAATGAAGCTGATATTGCAGCCCTTACTTTACAGACTTAGATGAAGCAACCTGTAGTTGCCGTGTAAGCACAAGTTGGATCCTTATGTCCATAGCTTTATCCATCCCACGGACTTTCCCTTCACTGCTACACTGTCAGAGGTTTTAGGCAAAGGCATATTTTGAGAACGCCATGCCTGTGCTTCATGCCTCAGGTCTCTACCTCCAAGGGGTATCATTAGATGGTACAGTCTATATATTGTTGGACGTCACAGTCTAAAGCCCTCTACCCCTTCAATCTGCTGTTTTTCCCCCACTTCCTCCATTTCTATAATAGTCTTATCATTCAGTCTCTCTTATGCTGATTATGCACAAAAAAGTTTGGGACACCGCCCTCCGCCCCACCTTTTTTTTTTTTAGATGGAGTCTCACTCTGCTGCCCACGCTGCAGTGCAGTGGCATGATGCAACATCCACTTCTCGGGTTCAAGCAATTCTCCTGCCTCAGCCTCCCAAGTAGCTCCCACCCTGGCTAATTTTTGTATTTTTAGTAGAGATGGGGTTTCACCATGTTGGCCAGACTGAACTCCTGACTTCAAGTGATCTGCCTACCTCGGCCTCCCAGAGTGCTGAGATTACAGGCATGAGCCACCATGCCTAGCCTGGGCCCTTATTTTAATTTACATATTTCAGAAATTGGTTTCTCTAGGAATATAAAATATTTTAAGCTGTTTGTAATCTAAAATATTCCTGTAACATGCAATGCCCTTGACTTAAATTTATCTTAATTTATGAGATTTAGTTTCTCCCCTTTTCTTACACCAAGAACACACTGCCTTTTTAACTCCTCTTAATAACGGACATATAGATACTAAAAGAGTAACTGTTTACAAGTACCTTCTCTTTATCTGTATTAACCAGTTTTTTGTCATCTCTGTTTTTGAGCTTTCCTGGTGCTTCAGCAGTTGGCAAGGAAGAATGGAAGATGAACAGCTTCCCAGGACAGTCTGCTGCCTAAAAAAAAAAAAACCCAAAACTCACAAAAAATGCCTTGAGTAGGAACATTTTAAGAGAATCAGAAAATAAATTAAAATATAAGTTCTTTCTATGAGCTAAGCACTATATTCATTTAATTTAATCCTCATAATAACCTTTGTGTCCCTGGGGAGGTACTATTCTATTTTACAGATTAGAAAATTGAGGCTGAGAGAGGATAGGCCAAAAGTAATAGAAGTTGTAAATGAAAGAGAGCCAACATTTAAAGCTAGGTCTATGTATCATGATGCTTAAAAAAAAAAAAAAAAACTACTAAAATGATGTTATGATGAAAACACTTTCTTATTTAGCCTACAGTATAGCCTCCTGGACCAGGTAATCTCATAATGTAAAGTAGATGGTAGAATTCCCAGGATGATGATGCAAGAGAAGCTCTTATTTCAGATCTTTAGTAAACATGGATTAAAGCTACAGTGGTATTTTGAGGTAGAATGCATAAGAACGGAGTGGTGGTTGGCAACAGTAGACACCAGGAACTATGAGCTATGAGGCATGATGCCAAGAGGAAAAGTATGGGATCAAGATCATATATCTGTAGTCTCTGGGAAGCAACAAAAAGAGTCAAGCCCCATGACAGTCAAGTCAGCATTAAGAATCAAGACTTAAAATCTTATTTAAGGTGCTGAGAAGTAACCTACTAAGCAAAATTTCCTGGAATTAAGTATGATTCAATATATTGTCCTTCCAACCCTACTGTCCTGCTTTTCTCCAAACTACACTGCACACTGCACCAGAGCAGTGCCTCTGAAATGAAGACAATAGCTCTGATCAGGTATGTGGCTTTTATCCTTACGAATCCTGAAGAGCTGAGCACAACTGCTCATGCTGGTAATCCTAACACCTTGGGAGGCCAATGCAGGACGACCGCTTGAACCCAGGAGTTTGAGACCAGCCCAGACAAGGTAGTGAGACTCTCATCTCTACAAAAACTAAAAGATTAGCTGAGTATGGTGGTGCTTGCTTGTAGTATCCACCACTAAGGAGGCTGAGGTGAAGGGATTGCTCAAGCCTAGGAGTTTGAGGCTGCAGTGAGCTATGATCATACCACTGCACTCCAGCCTAGGTGACAGAGCCAGATCCTAGAAGGAAGGAAGGAAGGAAGGGAGGGAGGGAGGGAGGGAGGGAGGGAGGGAGAGAGGAAGGGAAGGGGAGGGAGGGATAGGGAGGGAGAGATAGGGAGGGAGAGAGGGAGAGAGGGAAAGGGGAAGAGGAAGAGAGGAAGGAATCCTGAAGGTTTTCTAGTACAGGATAAAGTCCACAGTCCTAGAAACAGTGAGATGAGCTGCTACCAACATTTACTGCATACAGCTCTGTGCCAGGCTCTTCACACGTTTTCTTTAACACTCACAACCTTGTTCAGCAGGTACTGCTGTTTGCATTTTAAGAATAGGGAAACTGAGACTCATCCAATTTGCCCCAGGTCACACAACCAGTAAATAACTTTAAAGGCCCTTTGAAGTTGAGTCTGAATCTATCTTTCCAGTCTTACTTCCAACATATCCTTACCCCTGACATCTGCTTACACTGGAAGTTTTAGCCACACAAGCTTCTTGCTTTCCTGGGATGTACTACATGCTTTACACACCTCCCTGTCTGTGCACATTCTGTTCCCTTGGTCTGGAATGCATTTCTCCAGCTCTTTGCAGCTGTTATTTGCAAAGGCACAGTGTGCCTGGCTCAGTTGCAAGATGTGCAGTAAGTGCTGCTAATAATAAGGTACTTAGGTTTGTGAATAGCTGTCTTAAAAACAAAGAGAGAGAATTCAAGGTCAGCCCTGTCCCAATGTCTCTCTCAGTGACTGACATTCTACGCTCTGTGGAGTGGGTCAGAGAGGTGAAGACACAGCTGACATGGTGAGAAGGGGCCTAACCTGGGGCCTGCTCTCTTGTCTCTGCTATGGACAGTAGTGAGCAAAAATTTGTGTGCTATGATCTTATTGTTGCATGTGTCTTCTACTGAAAATTACTGACAGATGCAGTTCTTATTAATATAAGGACACAAGGATGAATGAAGAAGAACGGGTACGAATCTATAGGTATACGTGTACTGAATAGGAGAAAGGGAATAGCAAGATTCTGGCCAGTAAAGACACATTAGCTCCAATGACCAAATCCGAGTAAAATTTACAATAATATTGATTACAAAATGTTAAGCATGTTGAAACCCTGAAATTCTGACTGTAAATTTATTATTTCTGTAGTTTTTTTTTTTTTTTGAGATGGAGTCTTGTTCTTATTGCCCAGGCTGGAGAGCCATGGCGCAATCTCAGCTCACTGCAACCTCCGCTTCCCAGGTTCAAGCAATTCTTGTGCCTCAGCCTCCCGAGTAGCTGGGATTACAGGTGTGCAACACCATGCCCGGCTAATTTTGTATTTTTAGTAGAGATGTAGTTTCTCCATGTTGGTCAGGCTGGTCTTGAACTCCCGACCTCAGGTAGTCTGCTCACCTCAGCCTCCCAAAGTGTTGGGATTATAGGCGTAAGCCACCATGCCTGGCCCTGTAGCTTTTATTATTATAAAAATAGTTTTAAAAAACATTCAAATATCATCGAGAGTATAAAGCTTTAATAGAAAGTCTACCTTCTCATCAGCTTTTCATGCCTGGCCTACCCAATTCCCCTAAGGCATTCACTGTCCAAAATTCTATTCATTTAGATATTCTCTACTCATATTAATATTGTCATTTTATACCACAGCAGTAAAGAACATGGGTCATACCTGTCATGATCAGAATCAGCCATTTTATTATCTGAGTGACACTGGACAAATTATTTAACTTCTTTAATTTTCAGTTATCTCATGACAAGTCAATACATTAAACTACACAAAAGATTGTTGGGAGAATTCAATCATCTAGTACACGTTAATCATAATTAAACATACTTTGTCTTGTTATATTTTACTATATTACCTATAGTAAAACTCTGAGGGAAAAAACATCAGGGCCCACTGGAAAAAAAGGTCAATATTATTTAAAAAGTGGCCATATTTATTTTTTCCTTATGAAATGGTTAATTTTAGATCCATAATTTCATAAGCACACCATTATATAGCCTTTTAGAAGTAGCAAATTAATAAAAGATAAAGGTCCTATGTATTAAATGTTTTATTCCCTACAAAAATTTATGTTTTAACCAAAGTCTGACTTTGCCTATAGGAGTGAGTCATGCAGAATTAATGAATGGTATATATTATTCTTATTATAGCAGAAAACAGGTTGAGAGAGGCTGGCCTGGAGAACTCATAGTTTGAAATTCAGCTCTGACACCCCTTCCTCTGAGAGATATGTTATTAACACCCTTGACTTTACCTGCTCTTCTTTATAGAAAAGACTATTCTTGAATTAATGACATTTGTATCACAACTTTAAGTATTCTAGTGTCTCCTCCTGTAGATCAAGGGTTCCCTGAAAAGGAAGGACCTTGATTTTGTGTTTCTCCAACCTCCATGGAGACTACCACCTTCCATTCTATGGTGCTCCACAAACCCTTGTGCAAGGAGTACTGTTTGTGATGCATTCCCCTGCAATCAAATTTAGGTAGGTATATGGATAATTTAAAGATAAATTCCCCCCCAACTCATATATTTTAAGCATAACCACTAAAGATCATTTTCCTCCTTTTTTTTTTTCCAAATATTACCCCTAATTTTATGGTGGAAATAATAGCTAACTCAGTAAACTGTTCTTTGGCCAACTTAAAAGACAATGCCAGCAATGTATAGTTGAGTCATGAAGGTCAGATTTTGAAATAAATGCAGACTTTTAAAGGCTATGTGGGGAAAAAAGGGCTAAGAGTACAAGATGCTGTGGACACGGAGGCATTTACAACAGAAAATAGTGCTCTAAAGCCTGTAGTTGGATATTTCAAGGACTTTTCAAAAGTATGCATAAGAACTTTCCAAAGAGTTGCTGTTTATTTTCATGACAAATTAGCATATTTTTGGTTAGTTTTTATCTACTCTGTTTGCTTCAAGAAGTACTACTACTGATTATATATAGATTTTACGTGGCATGTAGCTGATAGAAAATAAAGCTATAATTCAAATAGGGGAGTATAGTTCTGAAATGTTTTCACTTGGACACACAATAAGAAAACTTTCACTTTATGTTCTTTCCATTTCTACTCCCTGTGCACAGGGGATGAGACTCTCATCTCTGGCCTTCTGGGAGGAATATCCTGAGCTATTTGGCTGACCAGCCACAGTCCTGGGCTTTCCAAAGTTACTCTTTGCCCTTCTCCCACCCCCATTAAAAAAATATAACCAACCAACATTGTGTTCTGTATTACAGAGTTACATCTCCTCCAGCATACTGTAAGCAGTCCAGGGGCAGGGACAGCAGTGGAGCATCATGCAGCCTCCACATGAAAACTGGCGTTGGGGAGAACAATGTTTACTTTGCCAGCAGGGATGGTAGTAACTGCCATTGACATTATGTCCAACAGTGGCATTTTGTCAAGATAGTTCCTTATCTATTTATAAAGAGTTATTTACCTTTTATAAAGGTAGTTCATTCTACTTTGTAAGAACACTATTATACTACTCATTAACTTTGTATTTATGAACTTATCCTGAGTTGTTATATATTTAGATATTAGTTTCTTCTCATTTTTAAACGTCAAGGTAAAAATATACATTATTATAACAATAAAATTACAAATATGACCAAAAAAACATGCAAAAGATATGAGATACATCACATTGGCTGAAATGAGCTGGACTCTAGTAAACTAGCTGATAGCAGAATATACTGATTGCTGTGGTCATTGTACTGCATGAGCAACCTTGGAGAACGTGGCTATTAAGAACATGGTGATTTTCAATAATGCATCATAATTATATCAAATTTCAGATACATAGGATGCATGTACACAATTTGCTTTATATAGCTTTTCTTTCTAAGCTGCCAAACAGCTTCTAGACCTCTTGTGGACTGCCAATGTGGAAACCACTGTTGTAAGATTGTTCCCTTTTAGAAATGAAATATGGGGTTTAGCTGGGACTCTACGCTCAGGTCCTCTGGAAGCCTTGGCTTTACAATTCTACTTTACTATGCTCTCTTAATTAATGAAATATTAGCTAATGAATATCTACTCATCCTTCCTTTCATATACAAATCCATGAATATAGTATTATTCCCAGTCCTAATTTCTTAGAGTAGAAAGACTTGTAGTGTGATATATGACTTATTGTGTACAGGAACATTTACATATGGATTTCTAGATACCTTAATGGAGGAGAAAAGAACAACAAAAACAACCCTTTCAAATTGAAATAGAAGGTATTTATTTGTAGTAATGTAGAATAAAACAAATTCCCTTCTTTCTGAAGACCAATCAGTTATCATTTGTTGGCTTCTGTTAGGTGAGCCCTAATATCTTCAAGTTGCTTTATGATATATTTCTTATTAATTTTATGTTAAATTAACATATATTCTGAGACTTTTTGGGTGATATCCACAAAAATCTTTGATCCCATAAGTAAATACTCTTGAAGATAAAGAAAACCCAAGCAAGAATCACTGTCTTGAGATATAAAATTATGTGGGAAGTGTTTCATAAACTCAGTTCTGTAATATTGTTGTTGCTGTTATTGTTATTACTAAGCATTTTATTTTAAAATTAAAATTTAACTTTAATAGTAACATTTTAAAATTAATTTTAGGAACTAGCTATAAGGGCCAAAGTGGTCTGACTCTTGTGTTAAGGTAATAACGATGATTTAGAGTGAGTGCTTTTTAATCATTATGCCTTCTTGAGTTTGCTGTCTTGATTACTATGAGGATGACCAGAGTCATTCTGGGCTCAGCTTCCCAACTGGAGACATGGCCAACCTCTCATCTACTTCTGGCAATCCGCATTCACATCTCTGTCATTGGCTGTCACAAGGACTTGGCCTGGCATGTTTGAAAATCCCATGGCTGGGGAGAGTGATATGGTAATCTGGTAGTTCTGATATTGTTGGACTAATTTTAAAATAGACCATATAAAGTTCATACAAAAGCCAGAGGGAGGAGCTAAACTGGAAATCCTGGCAAAATCAGTTGCTCAGATGCTAACAGTGCTGGAATGGAAATGCTGGGACCAATCTGTGGTTTTGGACACTTCCTCCTGAGAGTTGAGTGGAAGTTTAGAATAGCCTCTAGTGACCCACGTTTTAATGAAGAGTATATAACTGAAACTTTCTTTTTTTTTTTTTTTGTTTCTCTGTTTTTAAAATTTATATACTAGCAATTAGAAGTGGCTTCTTCTCACCTTTAGTGCTTCCATGCCGGCCTGGATGACAGGAGCAAAGACAGTCTCATTTTCATTAGAGTCTGCAAACATGTCTGGAATCTGGTCCAACAAACTATAAGACATGAGTAAGCAAAAGGTTTGAAATGTTTAGCATATTTTAATAAACTTTAAGCAATAAATCATTGACATTTCAAGCCTAAACACATATGGTATTTATTTGACACCAACACCTATAGGTAAGTTTCCTTAGGAAATGATATCTTAGCATGGCTTGGCACCAAAATATATTATTTGAATAGAACATTTACAAAAACACTCTTTGTAGATATTTTTTCCTATTCATTGCATTACTGATCTCTTAGACCATAAATTATTGGAACAGTGGCGATATTTTCAGTTGTGACTATCATCACTGAATACATTTTTCCACATATAGGAAATAGCTCCCTTAAAATACCTTTCCAGAAAAAAAAGGAAGAACTGATAGGGTTGAATATGAGTATTCAAAAAATTCTTTCTTTTAGATACTGGTCTATATTAAAAAAAAAAAAGACAGGCTTAACATAAATGATAGAGTTTTATAATCCATGCCTTGAACCCCCCTTGCTAATGACAAAACAATGCATGATTGAATCAAAACATAGTGCAACAAAAGACAGACACCTGATTCACTTTTAAATTATAAAATGCTTGATATTTACTTATGAATCACAGATTGGGATTCTTGATAGTTCACAAGGAAACCATCCAACAGAGGAACAAAGACTTCTCCAACATCAGTCACTACCATCATCTGAGGCTGGGCCAAATTACTCTTCACATTAAAGAAATGGAGAACTTTGTTATATGTGATAAAACCCACTCGAATTGCAGACGTCTCTTCTTGGTCTTCCCTATAAGGAAAAAACGTGTTTGAGATACATTATAAACTTAGAATGAAAAGGAGGTTTCTATCTGAAATTCAGTAAGTGTGTCTTCTATAAAATACATAAAGACATGTTTAAAGTTTTTGTCTTATTCTATTGCCAGGTGTAAACAATACTAGTCACGGCAATAGGGGATAAGAGTTATCACAAAAATAAACAAACTGATAAGGAAAAAAATCTTCAAAATTCTAGGTAAAAATCATATTTCTGTAACATTTATTTTTAATCTATAGAAAATAATAATGCTTTCTTCATGAATAAACTAGGCTTATTACATTCCTTATAAGCAAGGCTCTCTCAAAAGTCACCAGAAGGTCAGAAGAACAAATGGAATATCTGAAGCAAGGGATGAGGAAACCACACTCATATTACTAATAGGACAGCTGCTTTTATCGAGAAAACACTTGCTCCTCCTCTGATTCTTTTCTTACATATCAGAAAATCTCAATAGAAAACAGGCTAGATTTTGAGAACTATATACCTTATATAGGGTAAATACATAAAATACATTTATAAAATGAAGGTGTAGTTGCTATAAGGTGAGCATTTATGATGGTCATGGCAAAGGACTAAAAAGCTCCAAGGCTCCAAAATTGTAACAAAGAGTATATATATATTTTTAAATTCCAAAATGAGGCTTTAGTATTCCTATAAGTGTAAAGGCATGAATATTCTCATTCCAGTCTATAGTCCAGTCTATAGTAAGTACATTCAGAATTTTGTGCTCTAAACTTTAGTTTCATGTTTGCTGAGTGCATTGTACTGTCTATTTTTCTCTCCTTTAAAAGAAAACAGCTAGGTACTACTGATGCTCTTACTAATTTTTAATGGAGAATATCATAGTGCTCAATGGTTAAGTAAAACCCACAAAAGATACATGCCACTTTCTTTGACCATTAGATGTCAGTTTAACTTATTCTGATTAAAGGGCAACTATTTTGAAAAGGAACCTGATAGCCCAGCCTGGTGGCTCATGCCTGTAATCCCAGCACTTTGGGAGGCCGAGGTGGGCAGATCACAAGGTCAGGAGTTTGAGACCAGCCTGACCAACATAATGAAACCCAGCCTCTACTACAAATACAAAAAATTAGCTGGGCATGATGATGTGCACCTGTAATCCCAGCTACTCAAGAGGCTGAGGCAAGAGAATCTCTTGAACCTGGGAGGTGAAGGTTGCAGTGAGCCAAGATTGTGCCACTGCACTCCAGCCTGGGTGACAAAGCGAGACTCCGTCTCAAAAAAAAAAAAAAAAAAAAAAAGAAAGGAGTCTGGTTTGCCCAGCTTCTAAATTTTGCATATGTCCTAAAGAGTTATTCAAGTATAAGAGAGAGGAAAATGGAGGTATCTAGATGGAAGTATCTGAAGTTCAAATTGCTGATTCTGCTGCACACTTACCAATTTCTTTGATATGTCATCAGAGTATAGGCTGATAAGGTATTGACTTTGAACTGTGTTTTCTTCTCTACTTCCTTAACTAACTGAGAATAGTTGTTCTTCACTGGGCAGTTTAAGTAGATTCTTACAATCCCTTCCAAAAGCACTTGGTAACTGTTTATATTCTGGATACTTGCAAAGCTTTCAGAAATGAGAATCCCTGTTCTTTCTAACTACACATACACAGACACTCATGCACACCTCAATATCCTAAATGATGCAACTTTGTGCAACTAACCACTATGCTATACTGCATCCATGCTTGCCCCAACCCTTTCCTGATTCATTAGAATCTTATTCTTCAAAACCAAGTGCAAATTCTTCCTCCTCTATGAAATCTCTCCTGATGCTACCAATTGGAAGTCATTTCCTCTTCTAAACTCTTATAAATCATTCTCATTGGGCTCTTAGCTAAAGGTACCTTTTAATAAACATTTCATGAGTCCTTGAGTACGTGCTAATAAAGGGCAGGACCCAAAGTTTACGTTATCTGTCCCCTGAGGGTCAAGTACAATGTGGAGAATCAGAGGTTTTATTGAGGATGATTATCATGATGGTGAAAAACTGGATTTGGGATGGCAAGTTAGAGCCCCGACTGATAACCCAATAGTACACATTTCTTCCCAGCTTCAGTTTAGTGATGTCACCCTGACAGTTTGGAACCATCCTGGCTAGAAGCACTGACACCATGGATTGAGCAAACACTACAAATCAAGGCTTTATTTTTTTTGAGAGACAGCTTACCAGCACACCACTAGTTAAGCTTCCATTTCCAGTAAAACTTTTTATGACATTAGGTGAAACACATCCCAGCAAATCACAAAGGGATTTATTCTCTTTTAATAGTTAATTTAGAATCAACTAAGGCAAAAGGCACAAAAGAAAATCTACAGAGGAAAATCTAGATTACTATTTCCCATTGGATTTGGACATTTTCAAGTGATGGGAAACGAGTATCCTGGGATTCACAGAGTTCACTTAAGATCTAAATTAACATTTTTTAAAAGCATCTAATCAGAACACCCTACACTATCACAAAATATTAGTACTGGTCTCCATGGGAACATTTTTGAAAACTTGTTTGAGAAACAGAACTGTCCTAAAATTTTCTTCAACAGTATAACTGCCTTATTAAATCATATCCAGAAGAAAACTAATTTTCAGCTTCTCCTTCATATTAATTCTAGACAAGTTTTGTGAAGTTATATAAGAGACATCATAAAGACTAACACATTTTGTTCTTCTGCTTTTCAATGATCACTTCTCTCAATGCTTGCCCCATCATCATTTTAATGGAACAAACCTGACAGAGCAACACTGAAGACATTAGCAACTAGGTGAACCAGAAAATTTTAAGATCGAGCATTTGGAACATTTTAGTTTCAGCAGCACTAAAAACAAACAGATTAAAAAAAAAAAAACTAAAAAGCTAGTTCTGAACAACAGATGAAACATTTCAAATCTTTTCTTTCCTGTTCCAGAGAAGTGAGAAAAGTCTGGCGACCTTGAGAGGCCAAAAGTATAAATTCAAAGTTAAATAGTAAAGAATGAGGCCTTCTTGTTCCAAAACATTAGCTAAGAGATTAACATACCGTAAGATGTTAATCAAGACTTCAGACTGTGCTTTTTAAAAAGCTGTTTGGCATAGTACCTGCTTTAGTACAAAGAAGTAGATCAAACTGATGACAATCTTACCATTAAAAAAATAAAGTTACACACATGCACAGCCCAAAATAAATTTTAGGGAGAAGAAACAACAAGATTTGTTTTAAAAGATAAAGGAGAAAAAGGTAATTGGCTTGAATAAACTCTTTTAAAAGAAAGATTGGAATAGTGGCAGCGAATAATCAACAGTATCCTTTTATTTTTTCCTCCTATCTTTTGCCAAAGTCACACATCTCTGCTCCAATGGGACATAACATTATAATGACACAAAAGGAGGGGGTGTGATTTCATAACTTACATCAACAGGCTATTAGCTTCATATCACCAGCATTGATAAGAGACAAGGGATTGGTGAAGTAACTGCCTAGGATAATAGATTAGCCTAAGTTGAACCAGTTTGAGAAAAGGAAAAGAGAGAAAGACCATTTCCAGACATTAGTTTTCTTTCATGCTAATCAAGTTCAAAATTCAGATTAAACCAGCCCTATGAGAGAGTTCTGTAAGAAAATATATCATATTCAGCAGAAAATCCGTACTTCTCAAGTTTCTTTAAGAATGGGGTAAGGGAAACTACAGTTGCAAACACATCTGCAGGCATCAGATGCCTTATGCCACCATCTTCAACTTGCCCCCAGCTCATTCTTCATTTTAGAATTTAGTTTGGAATTGCCTCGGTGTTTTTTAAACATCTCCACTGCTTTTCCAAGCCATCTCAAAAATATTATGACTTCAGCTTCACAGATACAAACAAAACTATTCCTGGGAGGTCCAGAATTCATCTGTCTGAGCCTCACGAGTTGCAAAGCACCAGTCATATGTGCAAACAATACAGAGAAGTGGGCACCCAAAGATTCATGGAGCTCTAAGGGCTGAAGCCAACACCCTACCCTCCAGAAAAACAACCCTATCCAGAACAAAGACTGTCGATATTCAGGGAGACAGGGAGGGGGTGGGACGTGCAGGGACTAGGTTACAGACAACATTTTCTAGCTTGTTCATGTTTCCTCACATGAAGGATGGCTTTCTCCCTGCGCATGAATCACCTTAGATGTTATTCCCCATCCTAAACAACTAGTTTTTACAATATGATAATTTAAAAATAGCCATGTTTGATTTAGAGGCAGTAAGAGAGAGAGAAAAAAGGATACTGCTAGTTATTCCCTACTAGTTTCCAAATATCTCTCTTAAAAGCTTTTATTCACACCAACATACAATTTGTTTCCTCTTTATCTTTTAAAACACATCTGGTTGTTTTTTCTCCCCTGAAATTTGTTTTGGGCTGTGTGTGTGTGTAACTTTATATTTCTTATGGTAAGATTGTCATCAGTTTGATTTACTTCTCTCCTCTACAGAAGGTAATATGCCAAACAGCCTTTTTAAAGCACAGTCTTAAGTCTTGACTAAGGTCTAGGGTATGTTCATCTATTAATGATTAGAATTAGTTGTCCATCTTTCCTTGCTGCCCTCCTGCAATGGCAAGGAATGTGATGCACCTCGTGCTGTTAAGTTACAGGACACAGAGGCAGTAAAGCTGCAAATGGGTTGGACAGCTTATCATAAGGGCAAAAGGAAATTGCCTAAACATCTACCATCTCTGCCATAAGACAACAGTTCAGTTTCCTGTCATCCCTTCGAACTCTGCCATGCTCAGCAACTACTAGTTTCCTCTACTAGTAGCTCCAACTACTAGTTTTCCTCATGCTTCGAAAAGTGAGTAACACATCCAAAGTCTTTCCCATCACACTGTTGGGATTCTTCTTAGAATTTATAATGTACTTTGAATGTTTTTTACTGTAGCATTTTTTTTTATCAGTTTGTTTCTTTTGCTTCGTACAAAAGATCACTCTAACTTTTTAAGAACTCAAAACAATGGTGCTGTTTGATTTATGACTAATTACCCTACATCCTCATTAGCAAAAAATATCAATTGGTCATTCAGCACTTATCTTCTGGCCAATAAATTAATTGGGCAATAATGTATAAGTTGTAAAGAGAATGACGGTTCCCTTACTTTGGAAGTTTTTCCAGCACGGTCTTCAGTTCTTCACATATGAGCTTGACAAGTCCATTCTTTATGTTACTATATGAAACATCAATCATGAAGATGAAGGCTGGTGGGTTGGGAGGCTTATTCTTCTACAGGAAAGCAAACACATCACATAAATAGATAGAAAGTAAATACATTGCATAATAAAATGTTGATACTCATTAGAAATCCTTGAAAGTTATCAGATGTTTCATTTAATTTTTAGGACATACCATCTGTGGAATTAAATCATTTTTCTAGAATATCTAGAGCATCTGGTTTCAGATACCATTAAAAAGATGAAAGAATTTGTTTATTTTCCAGGGTATGACCTGGGTCAGTACTGAATTAGACATTATTATGACATCTAGCACAGAAGGTTCACTTTTGCAAAGTTTTATTACTACAGTTGCTGAAGGGACAGTACAGTATTATGGCCAGACTTGCTTGTAACACTCTGCCTTAGGTCAAAATATGTTTGGCACACTAACAAATTATGCTTAAAAAGAGTACATATAATAGTGTTTGTTTTTGAAACTGTAATAAAACTTCATTAATTTGGATGTCACTATTTTAGACTCTCTTCTATTAGCTCTTTCTGCTTAAAAGATATAAAATTGTTTATGAAAATATAACTGTATGCTTCTAAAAACTGTACTATATTGTTAAGTCCTCACCTAATTTCTTACACATTTGTGGTAACACAGAATGTTGGGCCTTTTCTTTATCTGTTTAAAACAATCACTGTGACATAAAGCAGCTGCTATGAAAATGTTTTTTAATTGTTGGTCCCTTTCTGGCTGGTGTTCAAACAGCTTTTAGGAAGTGATCCTTCAGTTGCATCTTACAAAATATTTAGAAAAAAGAGCCACAGGGAAACAACTTTAGTGACCTACACTAGGGAAGAATTAAGACCAACGTGATTTTTAACTTTATGATAAATCACAAAAATTTCTAAAATTGTATTTTAATTATTTTAAAATTAGATGACAATGTCTGTAAATTATCTTACTGATTCATTCTATATCTACTACAAGGCTAGATATAACTTTTTAAAATAAAATCCTTCATTTTAAATAAAAACCAATTATAGGACTTACAAATCATCATCCTGAAAATTTCATCCCCTTGCCAAAATCAGACCAACAAAGAAATGAAGAAATTCTGCTTTCTCTGTGAATAATTTTTTATTGCAAATCATTCTTGATTTACACCTACTTTAATTCACAACATAGACTTACGCCGATCTATAATGGATGAAAATAATAAGCATTTCCATTAATTAAGCCAAAACCTCTTTGTGAAAAACCCAAGTGTGCTGTGCCATTCTTGTAATCTCTTCTAAATTCAGCATTACCAATTCCTTATGGAATATTTTCCATATCTCCAATTTGCACATTTCTACAGAAATGCTTCACTATAACTTGTTTTGATATACTCAAAATTAATTCATCATTCCTCTAAATCACATTCTCTTCCCATTTCTCTGTCTCTATCAATAACATCACCACATGCCAACTCAAAGGCTTGAAAGCAAGAAATTAGATTTGGCTGTTCCTTTTCCTTCAATAACTGAGTCCCATCGTTTTCATTTTTCAGAATGATTCTTAAATGATGTTTTGGCCCATCCCTACTCTTAACCATCTGAAAGCTTGTCATCTCATGCCTAGATGACTGTCATGGCTTCATCATTACCTTCCTTAATCTATTACTCTACCCATTCAATCCAGCTGGCTTTGTCCAACAAGCTTAACATGTATGTACTCGATAAAACACTGGTTTTCCATGCCATCTTACTAAAACTGCTCTGTTACAGGTGACTAAGCTATCTAGATTGCAAACTACAGTGACTTGAAATAAAATCCAGCTCTCATCCTAGATCTCTTCTCTCTTTGCAATTTTAGGCACAGCAGACCACTTTGGCTCTCTTGGCTGTCAAGGAACTGAAGCATCATTTCCTCTCCCAGTTCTCTAACTGTTGTTTCAGTTTTTCATTTTCTCATCTTTATCTAACTTCTCTCCTCCCACCCATGTCCATCACAGAAATCTCATTCATTTGCTCAGTTTTAGCCAGCACCTCTATATAGGCAACTCTTCAAATTCTCTCTTACTGTGGTCCCTTTTGGGCTTAAGACCACCATTCCAATTAACTATAGCACACATCCACATAAAAGTTCTACCAGCACCTTAGACTCAAAATTTTAGAGATTATGACAACATTTTCCCCACTGTATTTGTCTTTCCTATAAGAAACTTACTTAAAAAACACAATTAGCTAAAATAATCTGGGCTTGAAATCTCACTGTCTCCATGGACTTGTCCACCTCATTTAGATTATACAGCCAATTAATTGTGAAGGCCCATGTGGCTCTCCTAGTTCCAGGAGCCAAATTTAGATTCTCAATTTCTCTCTTTTTCTATTATTTTTAACTGTGGAAAAGTAAACATAAAAACTGCCATCTTAACCCTTTCAAGTGTACAGTTCAGTGCCATTAAGTGCACTCATATTGCTGTGCAACCATTACCACCATCCATCACAGAATGCTTTTCAGCTTGTAAAACTGAAACTGTACCATTAAACAATCTGTTTCCTCTCTCCTGCACCTGGCAATCACCATCCTATGTTCTGTCTCTATGAATTTGACTACTGTACATACCACATACAGAATCATTCCATATTTATCCCTTTTGTGGCTGGCTTATTTTACTTAGCATAACATCTTCAACATTCATCCATGTTGTAGCATAGGTCAGACTTCCCTTGCTTTTTGAGGCTGAATAATATTCCATTATACATATATAGCACATTTTGCTTTTCCATTCTTCTGTCGATAGACACTTGGTTGCTTCCTCTTTTTGGCTATTGTGAATACTGCTGCTATGAACATGGATATGTGAATGTCTTTTTGAGACTCTGCTTTCAATTATTTTGGGTATATACCCAGAAGTGAAATTGCTAAGTCGTATGGTAATTCTATTTTTAATTTTTTGAGGAATTATCATACTACCCTCATTTTCTCTTAGTTGGACAGCTACATTAATTTCTAATGCACCCTTGCCTCTAATCTCTCCTCTCATTATATAAACTGCAGTCAGAATAAACTATCTGATGCTCAATACAGACCACAATGCTACCTTCTCTGAGAACAGGAAGTTTACTGAGTCCTTAGAGCCTAGCACAGAGCATGGCACCACAAAGAATGCTTGTTAACTGTTGACTGAGTGAGTGAATGCATGGATGAATGAATGGAAACAAATTCATCTTCACCTTTAATTGTCCTCATGGCCTACTGAATTAACATAAATTCTTCAATGCCTGGCATTGAAGACCTACCATGATACTCATTTTAAAAATATGTATAAATACGTAGGAAATAAAAGATAGGATGCTGTACCCAGGAGAAAATAAAAAGATAGACTGTGTCCTCAAAACAACTTCCCATTATTCCCAATACACATTTTCCCAACAACTTAAGTGGTTGACATTTCCAAAACATCTCCTGTCCAGAAGTCACAGACTAGTGGGCCTAAGCCAAAAATTTGTCTGGAAAAGTGTTTTGTTTGGCAGAGTGTTTCAAAAAAATATTTGAATTTAAATATGTTTTGAGGGAAGGGATAATAGACTCTCTAATTATTGTGGGCCACATCACTTCATCTACAATGTCTGCCTAGCCCCTAAAGATATCTGAATAAATTGTCAATATATTTGTGAAACTGTGTCTGTTCACTGTTCTAGTTCCCCTCTCCAGGCTCATAGTTTAACCTGCTTAAATGTCACCTTTTCTATGAAGCCTTCCCAATCCTGTTTTCTTATGGTACTATAATTATTCTATTCTTACAGGGTTTATAATATTTGAGTTTATACCAAAATTATATGCATTTCTTATCAGGTCTACACATGGTAAGTACATTGAGAGCAGGTTTATCATCTTGCTAATTTTGTTATCCCTTACAGCACATAGACAAGTACCTTAGAAATGTTATGCATCTGGTAATGTCAAAGTGAATTACAATTAAGTGAAGAAACTACATTTTTGTTCAGGAAAAATAAAAGCTGACTTGGAAGGAGGTTTTACATTTCAAGTATACTTTACATGCAGATATATTCCATAAACTTATAAATTATAAACTCCCAATTATGTGACAAAACTGAGGCCTTTTTTTTTTTTTTTTTTTTTTTTTTTTACCAAGGCAACTCCAGGATGATTGTGTTAATACTTGCTCATATATACACAGTGTATTGATAGAGAATAGGGCTTCTGTGGTCACACAGATACGGTTTTCAGTCTGGCGCCATCATTTCCTGGATGCATATGAAGCTGGCATTTAGGCATTCTCTAAGCCTCAGTTTCCTCTAATAATGATGGTATGCACCACATGGGTTCACCATGAGGACTAAATGATCCAATACATAAAAAGAATTTAGCCTACAGCTTGACACATGGTAAATGTTCAACAATTGTCAATTTTACTATCTAAAATCATCATTAAGATAAGCCATGATGAAAAGGAAAATGTGATTTTGTAATTCCTCTTTCCAAGTGCATGGTATAAAAAATACAAGTACAAATTAAACAAGCTTTTTCATTGTCTGAGTAGCTAAGCCAACTCATTATTATACTTTATTTACATTTTAAATTATAATTAAATTTGAGGATGTTTACAGCATATTTATTATGAACTCTACTTGGAATAATAAAAGCAAGATTATGCTTACAAAAAGCTCTTCAAAATGTACAATTTTTGTTTGGTTCCTTGCCTGACTGGGAGAGATTTCCCATCAATTAGACTTCTGGAATATTTCCAGATAACAGAGTTTACAGAGTTTGAAGATACTAAGACTTTTGTTCCCAGAAACAGATTTGACTCTCTGCCTAAGTTTCTACTGAAAAAGCATACAATCAAGATCATGTCACTTTTTTTGGCGGAGAACTGGCGACTGAGAGTATGGTCAGGTTTATACTATGGTTTCAAAGATGAGCGAATAAATTTTCCATCCTTAGTTACAATGGCTTTCTTATATTCAATTAAAACATTAAATATTTGTGTGTTGCCTAATGATTGTCCTTCAGTTAATAGCAGTTAGGAACATATGCTGTCCAAAAGTCATTGTATTTTAGGACATGCTTCTTGCCTAAAAATAAAGCATTTGTACCAAAAATATTCCTAGATTTCCCCAAGTATGTTCAGATGTTGCAACATTTTAAACTAATAAAGCATTATGTTTTCTTTAACAACTAGTTCTATGTGATACAGTGCAAAATAATTATATAAAGCAGTAAAACAAATGCAGTAAGTTATGTTAATTTTAAAAATTTTAAGAGTCAGTCAATGGAAAAAAAAATCTGTTTAGAAAAAATGTTCATTGTCATCTATACTCAATACATGACTGCTCCACATGACTTCTGCCCTTGCAAACATCTATAAAAGAAATTTGTGGGTCAGAAGTTGTTTTCTGGGAATTGGGCATTAGTAGACATTCATTTTTAGAAGAGAAAACAAGAAAATAAGTCAGAATGATCCTGTTTCTTCAAGTCCACACATGCTGCTTCAAATATGTGCTGAAATCTGAATGATACCCAAGAAAACGAGATTTTCAAATCAGTGAAGAATTTTAAAGCCCTGCAAGGTACCCATATAGTGTCATTGTGACACTGGACAAGGAAAATGGATAGTCCTGGCAATAGTAATACTCGCAAATTCATTCATTTATTCATTCCAGATACACTGACCAACTACCTATCCTGTGCCAGATAGTGTGGTAAATGTCATAAAGATGACTAGTGTATCAGAATCTGTAAAGATGGCAGACATGCAATAAGATTTAAATTCCAAGGGGATAAATGCTAATAGAGAGATGTAGACCAAATTCTGTGAAAAAACAGAAGCTATAATAAATAATTACCATCATAAAGACAGAGAAAGTTGCATATGCCAACACGCAATAAAATTTCAGCCAGGCATTACAGAATAAATAGGGTAGGGTTTGCCAGTTGGGATCTGTATAGATGTGACAGGAAAATGAAAAGATATTCTGGTCAAATGAACATCTGGTATAAAGGCATGGAGTTGTCAAAGGGGCTGAATTCAGAGTATGAGGTGAAAAGTTTTGTACAACTGAAGATACAGCTGAGGTGATAGTTTGGGGTCCAACGCTTAATGGCCTTATAAAGAAAGCTATTTTTTTTTTAATTTATGTTTTTAGAAAAGAAATAACCAATAGAGGTTTATGGGAGGCAGTGAGTGTACAGGCGGTGTCTCATGATCACATTACAGAGCAGTAGAATCAAAGGCCAGGATCTCAGGCTGCTGAGATAGTGTAAGAGGGATTCTGAGAGCCCAAATCACTGTGGTAGCAACTGGAGTGAAGAGAAGTGCAGAAACACGTCAACAGTCCTACTAACCATTTTGTTGAGCTTTTCTCTTTGAAGGGAAGTTTTTCTGAGACTCTTTACAAAATAAAGGGGGCAGAGGCAATGTATGAAACTGCTGCATTAAGAACCAGGTATATTCTGTCTGTCAGGGACATAAAAATTATTGTTTTCTATTTCTGACACCACATTTCAGTTTTTTGGCAGAGAACTAGAAACTGAGAGTATGGTTAGATTTATATTATGGTTGCAAAGATCAGCAAATAAATTTTCCATCATTAGTTACAATGGCTTTCTTACATTTAATTTAAAAATTAAGTGTTTGCATATGATTCTTCTTCAGTTAACAGCAGTTAGGAGTATGTGGTGAAATGGTACCACCACTATCAGCATTTTGGTACCACCAAAATGCTTTGTTTGTGAATCAAGAGTCAGTTCTTTACATAGGAAAGTTATTCACTTGAATCTGACACTGATGCATAAACCCTTGGAGTTCTGGGAACACTTACTCTGCAATAATCCAAAGTGGCAACATATTCATAAGATCCTAGAGATAACTCTGGTTTCTCATAGTGGTCTAGTCTTCTTCCAACGTGGTCCAGATGTTGGAAGTAGAACGGTGGAACTAATAAAAACAAAATAGGAAAGAAAATATTTTGTATTTATAAACACAGACAATTTAATAAGTTCTCAAAATTTATTACGGGAGGAAAGGAGTTAGTATCAGGAAAAATGTATTTTAAAGCTGGAATGTAGTATAACTTAAATATGTTCTATTTTAAAAACATGTCTTGGAAAGGAGGAGGGTTCCTCTTCTACAAGTTATTGATGACAAGGAACATTTATGATTTAGAACATCCTAGAAAAACAGGATATAAAAGTACTGGTGTTTTTAAGTTGTCACAACCCAAATTTAATTGTCCACATTTTATTTTCTCTTTTAAAAAGAATTCCACTTTTCTAACTATTTGAATTTTTAATATACCTAACAGAAATAAACATTCATTATTTTAACTATACTATGAACTACAATATTTATTATGCTTTAATTAAGAGATGTCTTCACCCACGGGGAGTTTGCATGGTAATCTTTTAATGTTTGGGCTTAAGAGTGGAGAGGATTACTGTATTAGGGAAAGACTACACCACTTAGATCTCAGCTAAGGAACTTTAATTTGATTCAAATGTCTAAGAAGGTTAGTTCTGGCAAAGATCTGGAAGTCATCCAATAGCACAGGAACACTTATGAGTCACATACTGAACACTTGGACAAATATGGCCTGGTATCTCTGTAAAAACGGACTCCTGTTGCCTTAAGATTAATAGGGCTGGCTACTAAACCACTGCCAATAAAAGTATTTAGAAAAACTACCAATGATCTGGTTTTAAGCTTTTTATAAAGAACAACATTACCATTTGTAAAAACCATCCAAGTAATGCTTCTTGTTTTTAAACCAACAATTCAGCATTATATATTTTTGACTGTGAAACTGACATAATAACGAGACTGCTTTTTGATGTTGTACTTTTTTAAAAAACCCATTGAGGCTTGATTTTTCTACATTGTTACTGTATCACAACCATTACTTTTAAAGTTTTATAAGGTTCTTATGCACATAAAGATCTCTGAATTCAGAAATTTCAACTTCTTGAAAAGATTATAGAAGTAGAAACTGACAGGCTCAGCTGAGGTAAGTAAACTTTGAGGGTCTTAAATTGCTGTTTTGTTACATTTAGATGAGGTGGAGGATGCTGCAGAAAGGTATTATGTGAAATTTTTTTCCTTTAATTTTTTTTATATTCATTAGCATTTAATATTGTCTGTCATCTTTTGTAAGCCAAAATTCAAGTCATCCCATTAATCATGCACTACCCTTTGCCCTGTCTTGCCGGATGCCTCTGACCACACATGCTCCCCACTAGGCAATATCTGGACACTCTTCAAGTAAATAAGAGTGGAACCTTGAAACCAAGCCTTCTGGCTTCCTTCTAACTCCAACAAACCTCTGTCTTTGTTAAACCTAAATGAACAATGTAGGGGTCAGCATACATTTATGGGAGTCTGGCTTCCTTGTAGAGACAAATATTTAAGCCTAGTATGAATAATTATATTGGAAAATAAACATGGCAGCTTCCTAGGAGTGGATACCTGAGGGAACATAATCTGCTGTGCTGAGACACAAGAATTCTGAGTCGTTTTTCTCTTCCGGGAAGTGGCTGGGCCTTTTAAGGCTCTGAGCCGACACTTTGGGTAGGAGGCCAAAGAGACACAGCAAACTGAAGATCCTTGCTGCTCTTCATGCTGGGGAGGATTTTGGTCACCTTCCTAAGAAAGCTGGGGGCTTGGGTGAAGACATCTGAGGAACTGGTGGGCTCGGTGGAGCACTGTGTCCAAATGCTTTGGGAGAAGCCTCTGTCCCTTCTCAGGATTTTTTCCTCTAAAACTAAAGCACAGAGAAATGAATTGTCACAGGGCTCCAGAAATCCAGGTCCCAAGACTGAATGATAGCCAAGAATTTGGTTGCAGATTTCATCCAGGTTGAGAGAGGAAACAAAATCTTCCTTAGAAAGAGAAGTAAGAGTAGAGGACAAACAGAATCTGGTCTCAATGGATATCCAATTTGCACTGAGTGGAAACCACAGCTAACACAAGGAGAAAGACATCCCAAGAGGCTGAGGCCATAATTTGGAACCAGTCTAGAAGTCAATGATTCAACTCCACAGCAAGGTATGTTTAAGAACTGACCAAATGTCTACATGAGAGGCACTCACAAGGCCAGTCTCTGGTGCTCTAAGTTGAGAAAAGCCCTGTGTGTGAGACAAGGGGGCAGGGACACAAGAAGGCAAGCAGTGCTCTCCCACAGAGAACGCTCACAGAGCCGAGATGCTCACAGAGCCATGAATGCAATGATGTAGGAGGAATACTGTCCCCAGCTCAGTTGTCATTAGGGAGTAGCCAGTACCTATGGGCAGAACCGTGTGTTCACAAGCAGAGAGTGCTATATGCTCTTCAGATTTAATTACCTGCAGGGAAGCCTGTCTACAAAGATAAGAAACAGAAGAAAACTTGTATTCTAATAATCATCACATGGTTCAAAAAATGTCAATGAATATGCAAGTGTTCTCAGCCTGAGTATGTACCTCATTTAACAACAAATAATTAAAAATATACAGACATGTTATAAATGCAATAAATGTGAGAATACTTTCAGCAACTTTGCAGTTTTCTTCAACAACAGTGAATTTGTACTGGAATAAAACAAATATAATGAATACGGGAAAGTTCTTTTTAATAATGTTCCTTCCTCCTTAAACAATCCAACATTTGCATCAGAGTGATGTGTGTGTGTGTGTGTGTGTGTGTGTGTGTGTGTGTGTGTGTGTGTGTTAAAGCCCTTGGTTATACCTAAGCTTTTCCTAAGTATCAATGAGCTCATATTCAAGAATAACCTTGAGGAATGACAACAGAGGAAATGTCTCCTAAATTTACCATCTGTAATCATAAGATGTAAAAATCTTATTTTGTTTCCCACTGAGGCTTGGTGGAAGGGGATTAATAAATAAAATGTTTCTCCCACATTTGAGTTTTCTTTTATAAGAAACATTTCAACTTCCATGTGGGGCTCATGTAGTTACCTAAGGTTAAAAGGGGCTTAAATTTCCCACATAGAGCCTGTTACAGTTGGTTTCCTTCCAGAGAAATTATAAAGAAGGTACAGCTATATAGAAAAAAGAATCTATACTTTTCCTAAACTAACACATATAATGCATTTTACTTAATAAAGAATTTCACAAAGAGCTTTTAAGGGCACTGCTTACCATCATTCACACAGTTGCAAAATCCACACTGATATCTCCTTCCTCCTTCGATGAACTGCATAAATGGGCACATGTAGGCCTTGCACCTATTGCATCTGACTGGTCCACTCTCGCCGTGATTTACCAAGTAAAGGGGAGTCTATGGAGAGTAAGAAAAATTAGAATTTCTAGGTATTATAATTTGGAAAGCCTTCTAGTGGTACTTTTTTTTTTTTTGAGACTGAGTCTCACTCTGTCAACCAAGCTGAAGTGCAATGGCGTCATCTTGGTTCACTGCAACCTCTGCCTCCTGGGTTCAAGCGATTCTCCTGCCTCAGCCTCCCAAGTGGTTGTGATTATAGGTGCCTGCCACCAGGGCTGGCTAATTTTTGTATTTTTAGTAGAGACGAAGTTTTACCATGTTGGCCAGGCTGGTCTCCAACTTCCAACTTCAGGTGATCTGCCCAAAGTGCTGGATTACAGGCATAAGCCACCATGCCTGGCCTAATGGCACTTTTTAAGGGACTCAACTCTTAGCTTTTTGCCCCAGGACAGTAAAGATGTCTTTCTTGCTAACACATAAATTCAAAGCCATAAAATGTTGTCCATGATACCCAAACAAAAGTTAATTTAAGTATATTTCATGTATAAGGATATATTAATATATGTATATTTATGTCTATGTGTGTATGCATATTTGCCAAAATGTGTGTGGAAAGAGAATATATAGTGATGGTAATAATACCTAATTATGCTTATGTTAAAAACATTCTGGACACTTTGTGTCACACATTTTGCTGTTTCTTCATAGATTATGAATAGAGTTAGATCTGATTTTAAAAGTTCTAGTTTGCATAGCAATATGCTGTCTACGTAGTTCCCCCAAAGCACATCAACTGTTTCTTCAAAAATGCAACTATTTGAAGAAATATGCAATAATGTTTATTTACTTACGCAAGGAGGACAAGTCTACCTTTTCTGCTACTTTACTAGAAAAAAAAAGTTTCACAGAATACTCACAATGTGGCTGGCCATGCTGTGCCAGAACTGAAAAAAATAAATCATTCAATTGCTTCTTCCTCATAAACATACATAGAAACCATGATACATCTTTTACAGTTTAAAAGTAAAAAAGCTCAGCATTAAGTCTGCCTTGTTTCTCAACTCTTCCAGCTTTCAGGAGAAAACCACAGAGATTCTTATTGCTGTTCTAAATCTCCTTAAAGATGACATTTAAAGATAAACTTGAGAATTGCAGACTTTGGCGTGTCAATTAAATTTTTCTTTACTGAAAAATATATAAGTAAAGCAGACTGCTTTTGAATGGAGGCCTGAAGAGCAGGAGTTTGGTGGGGTAGGGGCAACAGGCTCTTTTCTGCTCTAGCCTTAGAAAACTGAGAGTTTCCATTGTCCCTTTCCAGATGTTCAACGTGAAAGCTGAGGTTTACAGAAATCAGTTGGGAGGTCTCAGAGCAGAAGAAAACAGGTTTAACACAATACTCAAAAAAATCAGGGAAAGGATTAAACGTTAAAAAAAAAAATCATTCCCCTCTATTTCTGCACTGCCCTCTTCCCCATCTCTTGACTCAAGAAAGCCAGACGATGTATTGGATTTTCTTATTTATGATTACTTCTGATCCACAGCACGGGCTCTGGTGCCCCACTGGTATGGGCTATGTCAAGGATTAGATGAGTAATACATGTGTAGCGCACAGCATTGTGCCTGGGACAAAGTACTTGGAAAAGTTTTATCCAGAACAGCCTTTCCTCTCTCAAAACCACTCAGCTCAGGACAGAGTGTTCTTTGACAGGAGAGTTATAGCTGGGTAAATGGGATGGACTTCAGCTCCTGAAGACTACCTGGTCAGTTATTGTAAAGCATTATTGTAAAAATGATCTAGAAGACAGAGAATGGACTTTCAGGAGATCCTGATACACTCTAATGGTTAAAAGTTGAGAGGCAGAACGGATTTTTAAAACACTCTAGGAATTTTGTTTAAATACATAGTCACACATACAAATTCATATATCTGATACATAAACCAGTCTTTTAGACAAATTTTTTGTTAGGAAGGCATATAGTGACAAATGCCTGTTCTCTTCAGGTAGTAATAAAAAGAAATTATTTGAGGAGCCAAGAGAGAAGCAAAAACATGCAGGTACAAAAAAAGAGATTCTTAGAACAATAAATGGAGAGCCAGAAGAATGAGAAGTAGAAGACAACAAATATGTGCTGTTCAGGTAGCTTCTTCTGAATTAAAACTGCAATTATCAATTATGACTCCAGTTACTGTTCTGTTCCACAACTCCAACCTCTGAGATCAGGGGATGCTTTCAGAAGTTAAAATTGGGAGAAATTCTGCAGCTTCCATTCACTCAGCCAAGTCTACTTTTCTCATCCTTTTATTTTCAAAAAGTCCAAAGGCTGTAACAAATCCCCTGATTTTAGAAACCAAATATGATCCAATTATTTGCTAGACAAGCCAAAAGTAATGGAAGGAAATTTGACCTTATTATCACTGATTTTGCTCAAGGCCAGGCCCAGCCTAAAATTACTGTGAAATTGTTGGCAACTAACACCTATGCATTCCAGTCCTGGCAGATTCAAACTTGCAGGACTGAAAATGAATGTCTAACAAGAAACTGGAGTCAAGTCATGACTGGGTCTAGGCTATGAAATACACTTAGAGTTTTTGCAATTTTTACTTTTTTAGAAACCAGATGATGGATAGGTAAGCAATGTTTTCAGACAACTGAGGTGACAGTAAAGAATGTTAAAAGCTTTTTAACTGTTTACATTTTATTTTCAGGCAACAGGGCAAGGGCTTCTAAATTACACTGGCTTGTTTCATCTCTCTCAGGCCATGTTGAAAACCAGCAGAGATTTCCCTTTGCACTCTCCAGATGTCGGCTTATCTGCACCACAGTAGTGTACATGAGCTCATAAATAGCTAACCTTACTTTTGAGTTCCATCTTGGTGTGTATGGCTTAAAAAAATCAAACTACTTTTCAAAAAAATTCCCTAAGTTATTTTTTTCCTTACCAAGGGAATTATATCTAATTCAGAAATATTTTCAGATTTAAAAAATTTTATTTATAAATGTACTTAATCTTTAGCTCCTAGTATATCCCTGTCTACCCTTGCTTTTCTGTTCTTCTCTTAAGTGGAAAAGTGAAAGGTTAGAGAGACTGGCTGTAAAAACCTCACCTGACTATTGTTTGATTCTGGCCCTATATGGCTTAAGCTTACACAACATGAAAGTGATAGGGAAGTTGAGGAAAAATGTGAATCTTTTCCATGTATTTTTGGATTAATAGGGGTGTGCCCAATACTATGTTAATACTAATTTTAATAAAAGTGCTTTAATTGAATAAAATGTATCTCTTCTGTGTATATATAATACTAGTTGATTTTGGACCACAAGTGAAACTATCATTCTAAGAAATGAGGCTTAGTACTAAAATGATATCTAACAATTAAGAAACAAAATAACTTTTGATTACTTTTCCATGCAAAAGAAATAGACATTAAGATGTATCAACCAATACCTTCTAATACCACTAGTAAAAAATTTAAAAGTCTTATGTGAATACATTATCAGTTTTCCAAGTATTCCTGCCATTCTCTTGAGTAACTTTAATATCTGTACTGCAGGTACCTTTGAGGGACTTACAGTGTAGCGGGGTAGAAAGACAGTAAACAAAAAAGTACACACAAATGCAATGAAAAACACAGGGTCTGAGTAGAAATAACACTTGGGAGAGCATCATCAACAAGAGCTCTTTTTAAAGCTCTTTTTAGCTTAGAAAGGCGATGTTAAGCTATTCACAGATTGTATTTCCAAAACAAACACAGATGCTCAAAGAAAATAAAGCACAGTGTAGTAAGATCCATCATGGAAAATTTGTACCAAGTTTGTAGGCTGTATGTAGTTTTGTTTTGGCATGTATATTATTAAGAACAATGAGTACCCAAGCCTGGCTACAGTATTTCTGTTTTAGGAAAGTAACGAATTACAGTAAGGAATTAAAAGAAAGCAGCTAAAATACCAAAGTGTTTTTACCCCACAGATCCAATAGATGGCACTGTGTAACTAAAATTAAAGCTGTATAAACCTTACCAGTATTCAAGAAAACGACCAGGATAATCATGCTACATTCATTTCATGTAACTCTAACAACTTTTAACTGAATTTGCTTTTCTCAATGAAACTTTTGATAATGGTTTAAAAATATTCTGGGCCAAACAAAATACAATTAAACACGGAATGCAAGACTATTGTATGCATACATTGTATAGAAATTATAGAACGTGCCAAATTTACTAACAGCCAAGAGAAACATTTTAAAAGTTTCTAATCCTCTGCCAAGTTTCCTTGAGTATATGTAGGGAAATAGAGGTGAGATTGGGATAGGGAGTCACAATGTGGAGCAGGCAACCTAATGACGGCCTGGGAAGCAGAGAGAACGACACGAATGCCCTGTCACCAGCATCCATGCCTGCTTTCCACATTAGCCATCATGGTGCAAAATAACAAAGCAACAGTGACACCTGGTGTGTCCTGGCACTCAGCAGTACACGGCAATGAAGAAAAATGATTATTTATTTATTTATTTATTTTTTATTATACTTTAAGTTCTGGGGTACATGTGCAGATCATGTAGGTTTGTTACATAGGTATACACGTGCCATGGTGGTGGTTTGATGCATCCATCACCCCGTCATCTACATTAGGTATTTCTCCTAATGCTATCCCTCCCCAATCCCCCCATCCCCTGTTATTCCTCCCCTAGCCCCCACCCCCACCCCCCAGGCCCTAGTGTGTGATGTTCCCCTCCCTGCGTCCATGTGTTCTCATTGTTCAACACCCACTTATGAGTAAGAACATATGGTGTTTGGTTTTCTGTTCTTGTGTCAGTTTGCTGAGAATGATGGTTTCCAGTTTCATCCATGTCCCTGCAAAGGATATGAACTCATCCTTTCTGATGGCTGCATAGTATTCCATGGTGTATATGTGCCACATTTTTTTTATCCAATCTATCATTGATGGGCATTTGCGTTGATTCCAAGTCTCTGCTATTGTGAACAGTGCCACAATAAACATATGTGTGCATGCGTCTTTATAACAGAATGATTTATAATCCTTTGAGTATATACC